AGGGTAACAACATATTTTACTATTTAAACGTTACAACTGCATAATTAGAACATGTATTATTTCAAGATTGTTTGAAATTAGTTGTTTAGTTCATTAGAATCAGTAATTAATATAAAAAAGATTGCTAAAAGTATTGATTTCTTTATTCTTGTATGTATTTATAATTTGTAAACTGAATTGTATGAGTCTCCGGACTTTTTATTCAGTATGTTTTTATTTACAATAAAACCAGAATTGAAATGTACATACACAGGTGTACATGTACATGTATGTAAATGTTCTATTAAAGTAAATGAATTTTGAAAAGTCTCGGAACATGATCATGCAGGACTACGCTATACCAGCTATAGAGCTAACAGGGATCCCAAACTTACATGTACATGGACCATCAAAATAAAGACTAGGGTCAGAAGTTTGCTCCCCAGTGGGATCATAATTTTGACCTTGTACACCCCCTGTAGTTCATCTACAACTGCTGGGTGTGGTGATGACAAGTGGAATGGTATTGGAACTAAGTAGCCTGGTAGGAACATGTACCCTGTACTTCATTTTTGGCATACTTAATAGCGTGAGCGTGTTGTTGTGCTTTTGTTTTGGTGTTTGGACTGATACTCCCCCTTGAGCTTGGGGTACATGTCACTGGGAAGAGGCGTGTCACTCAATGTCATCGTTATCATCATCTGCTGGGATGGATGTTGATTTGGGTATGGATATGTCCATGTTTTGGGTAAGTGATAATGTTTAGCCTAAAAACAGGAAGAAAGTATTTCTTTCATCATGTTTACTGCTTGTCATGTTTACTTGTTCGTATATTTACTTTTGAGTGCTGACTATGACTGATATACATGTATGTACATTTTTGTGAACACATGCTATCTCCTGTCTACACTGTACTAGACTTTTAAGTGGTTTTACAAGACACAATCCCTGGTTTTTCAAAGGCAGGACAAGTGTGACTATGAATACTAGTCTATTCAAGGAGTACAATGTGTAACTCTTTGGTATATTGTGGCAATCTTTTTGAGAGTAGTTTATGTAGACTGCCACTGCCATTCTCTAACTTTGTGAGCAGAAATCTAGACTTTCTTTGACAAATGTGCAGTATTGAACACTGCTTTGATTCATTGATGTCTAAGGTTTTGAATTGTAATAGCATGATTCTCATTGAAATTGAATTCCCTATTATATGAGCTCTTTCACCCGAGGCAAGATATTTTCATAGGGTATTGTCAGCCTTGCCTTGCACGATAGGACAATACCTTATTTATCCAGACAAAGCAGAAATATTGTTACAAATGAATCTGGATTTAGAATTGCCTGATACATGTATGTACTTGTACATGTACATGTAGCATCTAAATATGGAAGACAAGTATTGGGTCAGCTGAAGTTATGAACTTTTGAGTACACTACATGTACCATGTGAGTCAAAAAAAAGTTTACACCTAGAAAATTGCTGATTATTTTAAAAATCATCTATGAACAGTAAATTATTATACATCTTATGAAAAAGTGTTTTATCCCAAATCATTTGGTACCATTTTTGTGTGGTATGTGTTCACGCTTGGATGAACAGGTGGCATTGTTTGCAAGAGTGCAAAAATCGACTTGCGCCAAAGTGATGCCTTCAGTATGTATTATGTTGGGATTAGTGGAGTGAGAGAATGGATTGAATGTATCAATTGAAATGCATTGCATATGTGTTTTTGCAAAGGGCAAAGTCACACACACCCACACACACGCGCACAAATGTTCGTTGATATTTGATATTCGATATTTGATATGTGTGGCATGATTAATTTTGTTAGAGGTGTTATTGGATGTTCAAAGACCGAATTAATACCCAAATCCCAATCGTTTTATTCAAACATCACGTACATGTAGGCAACTTTGGCGCAAGTCGATTTTTGCACTCTCGCAAACAATGCCTCCTGTTCACCCAAGTGTGAACACATACCACACAAAAATGATACTGAATGATTTGGGATAAAACACTCTTTCATAAGATGTATAATAATTTACTGTTCACAGATGATTTATAAAATAATTAGCAATTTTCTAGGTGTAAACTTTTTTTTGACTCACTCTGTATATACATGTAATGTACAAAATAGGGCCTACAGCTGCTCATACATGTACATGTGCTGTACCTGCTTTCTGGTGTATCATTGGTGTATAATATATTACTCGTTCACCATATTTTTTTAATGCATTTCACAAAATGAAGGAGGTTTTAAGTACTGTATGTACAGTACATGTACATGTTTATTATGCTTTTCAAAAATTAACTTTATTTTCACTGAAATTGAAGTTGTTGTGTAGAACTGCTGATGATGTACATGTACTGTACATTTCTTGTACTCATTTGGAAAACATCCTTGGAAGAAGAAATCTTGACATTTACACAGCTGTTTCATCCAGCTCAGAGCGTGATCCCTAAATGCAGGGCTAAGATGGATTTAACCCAAATATCGTCTGCACTCGAAATATTGGGGAGATGTTGAGGCTATTTTGTCATGATCGTGTCTGTACTAATTCTTGTTTGTTCATGTTTTTCTACAAATATTTATATGCATTCAAGGTTGGTTGGTCATGAGTAAAGTACTGGTTTGTACATTATTTTATTCCTGTGCTTGCTCCTGTAAAATAGCACAATTTTTGAAGCAAAATGAGAACCACGTACCGTAGCCATTTTCAGGATGTAAAAAATAGAATTAATCTGAAGCATGTTCTATTGTTGTCGGGCTTTGGTCTGATTTGCCTGTATTATTCAAGATATACATGTACATGTATATCCTGTTATTTTTACCATGCATAATATGGCTCTATTTACATTGACATGTTGGCTACATTGTACTGAAGCTACATTATAAAAGGCACTTGATGCTCATGGAATATGATCAGCTCTTTCTTTTTTCTCTCTCTGTACTACCTGTACATTCAGACTTTACCTAAGATATCAGAACATGTAAAAGAGTGCTTAATCTGTAGATCCTCCCTGTAATGCTGTGTCAGATTATACCTGCAGTCGTTAATTAATTTGTGGGAGTAAATCTATAAATCTAATTGGTCTTGTCTTGCATTTAAAACAAGATTTAGTCATGAAGTTACTCAGTATCGGCTGCTCGAATTTCATATTTCATGTTATGATAGACATGTTATACTGCAATAATGTTGATTTATGATAGGAGGGGCTCATGTTTAATCAATCTTGTTTTTGGATCAGCGAGTTTAGCAATATCAGCCACTGAATTGCTCCATGTTTGAATTTCAGATTTCAGGTTTGGTAGTGAACAGTATTACTTTGAATAAAGTACCGTAGACACATTACCACCAAGTCACACCATACATGTAGTCTATGGAATAATAATGCAGTCACGCATGACACAGTGTGAGAGTGTCTTACTTTATTTCAAGCAGTACTGTATTTACTACAATAATGTTAATGATTCATGACAGAAAGATTAATGATTATTAACTTGCTGTATTTCTCTGTCCATTGTCAAGATAATGCTGCATGTAAGTGCTATTGTAAATCACAGCATTTTCAATCAGAATTAAGTAAATTTAGGGGGCACAATCACGGACATCAATTTTCTTTCAAGGCCTTCATACAGAGCTGACAAGCATAACATTTTCCCCGGAATTTTTGTGTTTTTTTCTCATAATTGCGGTACAGTGTAGTACGTTTTTATGCCTCCGCCACCGAAGGTGGTGCCGGAGGCATCATGTTTTCGGGTTGTCCGTCCGTACGTCCGTCCCGTTTGACCGTTATCACAATATCTCAAGAACCATTTAAGATTTAAACTTAAGACTCGGGAATAGTATTTATCACTATAGGAAGACGATCTGATTAGATTTTGGAGTACGTAGGTCAAAGGTCACAGGTCACAGAGGTCAACTTATGAAATTCCTTGTATTGAGTTTGTTAGCGCGATATCTCAAGAACCATTCGAGATTTAAACTTCAATCTTAAGGATAGTATGTATCACCATAGGAAGACGATCTGATTAGATTTTGGAGCACGTATGTCAAAGGTCAAGGGTCACAGAGGTCAACTTATGAAATTCCATACATTGAGATTGTTATCATGATATCTCAAGAACCACTGGAGATTTAAACTTCAAACTTAGTGATAGTGTGTATCACTATAGGAAAACAATCTGATTACATTTTGGAGCATGTAGGTCAAAGGTCAAGGGTCATAGAGGTCAACTTATGGAATTCCATACATTGAGATTGTTATCATGATATCTCAAGAACCACTGGAGATTTAAACTTCAAACTTAGTAATAGTGTGTATCACTATAGGAAAACAATCTGATTACATTTTGGAGCACGCAGGTCAAAGGTCAAGGGTCATAGAGGTCAACTTATGAAATTCGATACATTGAGCGGAGGCTTCATTTTCGACTGCGCGCAGTCAAAATTCCATCTAGTTTCTTCATAAAATACTTTTTTTCTAAATTTTTCTTTTTGTTTGTTTTTGTGTGCACATACCGCACGTCAGTCAAATGCCCTAAACTGTTGATCACTACAGTACTGTAATAGAGATTTTCAATAGAGATTTGTGATTTACAAAGAGTAAAACAAAAAAAGTGAAAGGCATAAATATTTTCAAAAAGAATGAAATGCCAATATTACCAAAAAAATATCATAAAAATTTAAAAAAGAATGAAATGCCAACAAAATATCATAGACATTTCTGCATTGGTTGGAAGTTTTGTTTGGATGAATTCCTTTTTTTTGCCATCATGGTCCCTTTTTTTTTGGTTGCACGAGGTTGGCAGCTCTGTTCATATGCTTAATATATATGTTTGAAAACTTTCTACAGGAAATATAAAGAAATATATGTTGCTTTAGAAAATGAAATGGATGGCGTAGTAGCTTCTACATTCATATTCATATTCATATTCATATTTACACCATTGTTTCATTTGTTTGATTGAAAATCGAAATTAATCCTATTTCATTTTTTTACTTTCATCTTTTGTATGCAGGTGGGTCCATTCACAGCAGTATAGATGTGATGTCCCAGGCATCTGATGACCACCATTCAGCTATAGCATCATCAGTGATATCTTCAAGAGGAAGCTTCTCAGGATCCCATGACAACATCTCCAGCTCCAGGGAGTACATGCCGTTAGAATCATCGTCCTCGTCTCCCAAGCCGGGAAATGTTACCCCTAACTCAGAAGGGTGGGTCAAGTTTGGAGACTCCAGGAAAGTTGTAAGTTCAACCCCGCTGAAGAGTGTGGTCCCAGAGAAGGGGATCAAAGAAAACGGTAGTCTGGATAACTCAAGAGTGTCCAGTCCTGCCCCTGTAAATTGGGTGCAGTTTGAGGACGACCATGATGTGACTTTGTCCTCAACGTCCTCAAGACCATCACCTATCTTGTCATCTTGTGACGACTCTATCACTCGTGAATCTCCATTAGAGGATCTCAGTGCAAGGAGCAATAGCAGACCTCTTGAGATCCCCAAAAAGGTCAATCAAAATGTTATTCCTGGTCATACGCAAGTGGAGAAACTGAAACAGGGAGATGTAAGATCAGGGATTAACCTTAATTCTTCCAGGACAGTTACAGCCAGTTCAACTCCTATACACATGTCAGACCATGCAAATGACTTAGAAGTGTCCAGGTTTTCTGAAGTAGCTACTGGGCCAGAGACAAATTACGATACAGCAACTCCAGGAAACCCCTTCAAGGCAGACATGTTGACTCTAGAGCAGTTGGAGAAACAGAAAGCCATGGTTGAACAGGCTTGGAGGACTGTCTCTCCCTTCAACCCTTTCCTCAACATGGGAGGTTTACAGTTAGCAAGCACACCTGTGAAATCTAATGCACAGCCCATATGGACAACCTTTGATGAAAAAGATGGTGCTTCAGCAAATACTCAGATAGTATCCAGCAGTCCAGGGAATCCATTTGCAGGCATGGCAGCAGCTTCTAATGTGCATAACAGATCTAATATGGCTGCGACATTCAACCCTCAGCAGCAAGCACAGGGACAAGTGATCTTTGCAGCTGCTGCAGCTGCACAACAAAGTGCAGCAGCATCTCAACAAAGTGTAGCAGCTTCACAACCAGCGAAGCAAGTTATGGCAGTACAACCATTGATGCAGTCCAGTGGTGTTCAACCTGGAGACCAACGGACAGCAGCTATTCTTTCACCCAGTGCCTACGCATCTCAGCCCATCAGTCCGATTGGTATGAAACCAAACCAGTGGCAGCAGCAACAACAACAACAGTTTTTCCCGTCAACATATTCTTCATCGCATCTGAACATTCCTCCAGGCAAGCAGACATTGGCAGCCATTGTTTCACCTACAACAACATCAACTACAGAAGGAAGTGATATGCCCGACAGTGGCAAACTACCTTTTAACACCCAGACAAGCATCAAGTCAAATTTGTCCTCTCCTAGGAGTGACAAGCTGTTTCAGGATCAGTACCCTCGTGAACATATGGATCTATCAGAAGGATGGCCTCTAAAATTCAGAGTACCTGATAAGAAACGAATAGCAGGCTCGCGTACATGGCAACCTATCTATGCGAGGCTTTCTGAAGGAAACATCCTCCAGTTGTTTCACGACAGGACTAGAAAGGAACCGTTCCGGGAACTTCCCTTGCAGAGCAACTATGAGATAGGCCGTCCAAATCTTCAGCAGTATGATGCAAAGGGTAAAATTCATACAGTCAAACTGCTGTACATGTCCTACAAAGAAAAGAGGAAAGTCAGTGCCAAGGCAATGTATGACAAAGGAGTTAGCCTTGAAGAGCTTATGAAGCTTGGCTCACTTGACTTTAAAGTGTACCAGAGCTTTGTGTTTACTATCAATGATGCCTTGATGAAATTGACTCTCTACCAGGATAGAGGTGCCCACTACCAACAGGATATGATCAAAGTGGTTGTTTCTGACGAATGCCGCTGCCTTGTCAATGGCAATGGAGATGTTGTGCGGCAATCCATTTCTGTTGACCTTAATGTCTTATCTTTTCTCTCTGGGAGTCCTGACTGTGCAATAGGCCTGAACGATGTCCAGATCAAAGGTTTGGATGTTGTGGCCAGACAACACATCATCCCCAACAAAACATCAGATTGGATCAAGATGCATAACGTAGAACTTCACAAATGTGCAAATAAAAATGTGTTCGTGGACTCTCGAATGATCGAGTTTCAACCGTTGAATGCCTGTCACTTTAGGCTCATGCAGTTTCACATACAGCCTTCAGAAGAAGAGGACTTACCCCTCCAGGTCAGAGCTGCTTTCTCAGGTGAAGGTACACACATGGAACTCAGGGTGGATCTGCTGGTACCAGGTAATATAATTTTACTCCTCCATAGGCATGGGGCATCTATACAATTGCAGTTGATCCAAATCAATCTCAAGTCCTCCAATCAATCACAAGTTTGCAGTCTCCTATCTTGTACATATATGGTTGCGATTGATGTCAATCACAGATAAGTAGCAATTAATATCAACTCTTTATAAGACAGGGGCCCAGAACTGGATTCTGAGTCATTTAAGATTCACTGCTTGTGTTTTGAATTTCAGTGCTTTCCAATTTTTGTAATCCTTCAGTAAGTTGTAACATGTTATCTTTTCATATGCCCTCATCTGTGTCTTTCAGCCTGCACCGGCAAGCGGAATCCGAGCCATTACCAGTGTGAGAACATCCTTGTTCACATTCCTGTCCCGGACCATTGGGTCTCTTACTTCAGGAAACCCAAGCGGATGGGGCAGTCCTCGATCCATGCAGTCATCAAGAGGCCAGATCTTATCAAGAGAGGTAAATATTTTTAATATTGCTGATTTAGGAATTCTCAAAAGTTGTAAGTTCAACTTTAGCTTTGGCTGAGATGAAAAATGAAAAAAAAAGAATTTCATTACCAGACATCTTTTTGTCGTTGTTGGAAACTGCTGGAAGGTAAATTGCTGAAAGGTAAAAACGCAATCCAATGCATACATACAGTATGATTATTTAATAGTGTACACTCATATTGGATTTAAAAAAAAAAAAGTGAAATTCACAACGGTAAATCATTCCAACAGTAGGAGAAAGTTGCTTATACAATCATGGAGATCTAATTGTCCTATCAACCACAGTGAAAAACAATTTGATCAAAAACCTGCTGAAAGAACCAAGTGTACAATTTAAGCAGATAATTTGCAGTTCTTTATTCTTTAGAATTAAACAAGGCATGCTTTATAGCCATACAAGATGATATCCAGGATTCATTTCTCATCTGACTACATCTTACATGACAGTGAAAAAACAAATCATTCACGAAAAAACAAAAACAGGAAGGATGCTAATCTTTTATTCTCCAGATTCATTTCAACTTCCTCGAACGGGATGGATCTCAATATGCACTTAATATACATGTAGAGTCAACATGCCTTCAACTTCATACTTTGTATTAATACCAGAAAGCATACATCAGTACATGTTCCTTCATAACTACAGTATGCTTTGACTTTGATGATAAAGCAGAAAATAATTGTTGTAATCATTTCTTTATTTGCAAGGAAAGTACAGCAATATATACACAAATTTTCACTATTACAATTGTTAATTATGAACCTATCCGGGTTGAAGGCAGGTTGTAAACAATTAAATGAAATTTGAAAGAAATCAATATAGTAAATTAATCATTGAATTCAGATCACCATAAAATGACACCTGTATGTAAAATATTGCTCAAGGGCATCAAGAAAATAATTCTGTGTTAACAGGTGGTCTTTACATGCAGGCTTTAACCTTTTTTAATGCTAAATTGCTCTTGTTTATGAGAACATACATACAAGTATGGTCCCAACAGTAGTATAAAGAAATACAAATACATTTTTTAAAACCTAACATCCTGAACCACCAAGGTTTCTATGGGGGCTACTGATGCCAACAGATATGCAATATAATCCTTCCACACCCCTCCAGCTGTGTGACAAATTATTGATATCTAGTTTAAGTATGACTACATGGACTACACCTGTAGATTCCAGGTGTTGTTGTATTGCCATAGCAACACTCTTAGTCTTTGTGACAGCTTCATGTGAAAAGGGATGTCCAGCCCTGGATGTGATTTCTAATTTACTATTGTAACTATTGTAAAAAGGCTGCTCATTTTTTTAGGGGGGGGGGGGAAGAGGGTACATGAGTAAAAGAAAATTAAAGATAGAGTTTACAAGAAATTTCTGTCTTTTGTGAAATATTTATGATATCCACTGTGTTTTCGTGCATAAATATACCTGTATATGTTTTATAAATATCAGTAGTGGACTAGTGGACACTTTATTCAAATTACCTGATTGGTCTGGCTCAAATGCGTTGAGAATTTAGATGAATAGTTTAGTCACCATTATAATTACTTTTTAATGTCTGTAAAATGCCTTTTCTTGGTGTGTTTCATGACTTTCATCATTATCTCTTTCTTCTAAAAAGAGGGAAGGTAAAATTGTTGTTCACATTTTATGTATAAGACAGTTGCAAGCAGTTTGCACCTAAACAAACGTATTATACATGCACATTCAAAATATTATGCAGCATAGTATCTCCCTGCACAAAACCAGGCACCCTAGAAATCATTCTGTAGCCATTAAAGAAATGCAATCAGTAATATAAATTGATATTATTTGTTTGCCTCTTTGAGTTTCCCATACTCCTTCCTGGTATAGGCACCAGATTGATTGATCGTTAAAATGACAGAGCTCAAGGGCGGTTCCTGTTGTCACAGTGGCTTTGAATAGAATCTCAGATCGTCTCCCTCTCTTCTTTGCTCGTATCCATGGAAACATGACGACAGTTTGCTCCGTGGCAGACTCAATATCACTTCATTTCATCTGCCTTTCACACCTATCAATTAGCTTTCTTGATATTATGATTAGAGGTCATAATTGCATCATAATATCATTAACTGCTTTATATAAACCACAATTTATATCACTCCATGGGATGGGATACTATAGCATTGTGAAATGTGTGAAATTGTTCTTTGGTTCATTTTGTTGTTGGTTGTCAGTCAATTTGTTGCCACCAACATGGTACAAAGTAGAAACGCATGCTAGTTTTTTAGACATTAAATATGCATTTACAGCGCCACATATTCTGCTGAATGCGAAAGAAGTTCAATTGTTCTCATATGATCTTTGACTACAATGCTATCATGTGAAAGATATAAACGGATAATAAACATAGCTTTTATATTGTCATAAATTTATACAGGATGTATGTGTCTCTAGGATAATATACAATGCCGTTAAGATAAATTCTCATGAAAAATCATGCAAAACCTTCTTAAATTTCCTAGAGTACAAGTACGTGATATTTGTCTCTACAGAATTGGTAGAAAGGGATAGGCTGAGTAGTAAACAATTGGAACATCTAGGAACAAAAAGGTAAATGTAAAGAGTAGGCTTGCACGTGCATACATGTAGCAGTTAGCACACAATCTCATATCAGCAGCTACGAATGAGTGACAGCTATGTTCTCTGAATGGTGTTTTGCTAGCTTGTCATACTTACAAATGCATTTTTAGACAATTTATACCAGGTTAATCCAATACAAAAAATTAAAATCAAATCAAATTCCATCATCAGAATTCAAAAAAGCTTTAAACAGGGAGTATATCTATATGTTATGATCACCTCAATAACCTCCTACCTTATGCGCTCATGTATTCTATTTGATCTACAGGCAATACAACAGGATATTGCAATATGGCATGGGTGGCGCCTTTGTTATAATGTCTACCCACTTTATTGTTCAAATGTTGACAATAATTTAGATCAAGGAGATAATAATATTTTCTTTACCCAGTGCAGATCATTAAGTTTATTCTGAATGTGACGCATTATTGCACATTCTCTAGGGCAGTCCAGTATTCACTTGATTGTTTTGTAGAGATAAAGGAAATTATAAATAATGCCCGGAAATCGCTTCATAAATTACCAAGGAACTGAATTTCAAGTGCACTTTCCTGTTATTTCCTTTTTGCAGTTTAGCCTCGTCTGAGTAGTACCAGTAATCAACCCAGTTACTGGTACCTCACTGAAATTATATGATTGACTTGTATTGAGTTTATTGGATGGTTCATTTGAAGAAATGTGAGAGGATGGAAAAAAAAAGGGAAGAATGATGCAGACTTGAAAGAAGATGGAATAAACAGTTCTTGTGTGTTTTTTTGTTGGGGGGGGGGGGGGGAGAAATTATCAACAAGAACTACTGTATTTTTTATGCCAAACTTGATCTGGATAATGTTTCGAAATTGGCCATCAGCAACCATCAATTTCATGCATTAAACATGACAAACATATTGATATTAGGCCACTTCATATACCCTGTATTGTACATGTAAATATATATATTTTATTTTGTAAGGGGGGGGGGGCAATATTACCCTGAACCCCCTCCCCCATCTGTACATTTGTAATGAAAGCAGCCCCTTTCTTCACATGACTGATCTAAAGATGGAGACATCTGTTCATGATTTTCAACCGTGAAGTCACATGGGGATGAAGTTTTTGAAAAACAAGGCAGGAAGAATGTATTTTAATGTATCCTGAAACGTGTGTGGTCTCATGCAGTCAGACCTAATCATCATTAATCAAATGGGAAAAGTGATATAATATTTTGTGCAAGAACTTTAGCCATGATAAAATAAGTAATTTAATTGTACTTGTGAGGATGCTGTATTGTAGTACATTAATGTGGAGCATAATATGGCACAGTATCCTCTTTCATGAATTGTTTTTACCTTTAATGTATCTCCCATCACAAACACAAAAAGAGACAGTATGCAGTGTTGTTTGGCTGTGTGTTAAATCAACGACAGTGATCTACAGATCACGTCTGCTCAATATTGGACTAAATATCAAGTGATGTTATTTGATCTACCCAAGTACCAGTAATCTAGTCTGCCTGCAACTTTTCATCTCTTTCTATTCTATGTTTTCAAATGGCAAAGATTAATAGAGCGAAGAGTAGAACATACATGTACATGTAGGTTTACAGTACAAAGGGTATATTAGCTTTTCCTCATGGATTTCAAAACATGCCCGTTACAGGGGTCTTCTTTCCTGCTTTCGAAAGGAATGGTTGTATGGCATTTGTCCCTGCAACAATTGCTCTTGGAAGATATCCTATGGCAGATCCAGGATTCGAAAGAAGGGAGGGGGGGGGGGGTAGGGGGTAGAGTGCCTACATGTACCATGCTGAGCTTTACTCTTGCAGGAACTGGACAGAAATGGAACGAGAGGTGCAAGGAAAATATAAATTCTTATATTCTTAGGAATGGAGGAAATGTAGAGGGGCATGTTGCTCCTGCGCCCCTCTTAGAATCCATCTGTGATCTTCTTATAATGATCAGGAAGTAAAATACAACATTAATTTGGATAAAACAGTGCATAATTTAAAAACAATTTTACTTATGATGTAATGTGTTTAATATTGAAAACCACAGATTAGATGAAATGGGGTCATTCTGTCTATCATTGTTCATTTGAATCTGCTCGGTTCATAAACTTGATATCTGTTTTATACCAGTAAATGAAGATTATTGAGATCATAAAAGCCCCTTTTAAAGTGTACACTACACGGTGTACATGACACTGTACTGGCAATGTACAGTCTTTTCTTTCTCCCCTCCCCCTTTTTCTCTGTCTCTATCTTTCTCTGTCTCTCTCTCTCTCTCTCTCTATTTTCATTTTCCCTTTCTCTTTACCCCTCCTTATCTCTTTCTATGTATTCCGAATCACTTTCTCTCCCTCTCTTTCATTCTATCCACAATCCCCCTTCTTATTTTATAATTCACCCTCGCTCTCTCATTTCTCTCTTCATTTTTATCACTCATATCCGTGACCATCATGACTTGCCGACTACAGTAACTAGTGCTGTTCTTGTATCACCTTAGTATAAAAGAATGATTAAAGAAAAAAAAGAAGACAGAAATGAGTGATGTACAACTATATTGCTCTCCAGCGGTGTTCATCTCATCAGACTAATTGTCAAATGCTCACTGGTGTGCAAACACACCCTGCAGGGTGACATCAAATGTAATATTTTGCAGTGGCCACTATATCAACACGTTTTAAGAAACCCCTACTGTTGTACATGCAGAGAGAGAGATGTCAACTGTAACAATTAACACGAATGGTGTTGTTGTATATCATCATTAAAAGTATATACCAACAGTATTTGTAAAACTCCCACTGCTTCGACAGGGTGATTGACTGTATCATTTCTAAATATAAAAAGAAAGAAAGAACTGAACTCTTACTGCTGAATGCCCAAAGAGCTTCAGTGTATCATGCAGCAAATTCGTGAAAGCTCCAATTCTGGCTGTATATATACATGTACATATACATGTAGTGGCATACATGTAGCTCTGGGAATGGGGAATGGGAGGCAACAGGGGGAACTTTGAACAGAAAACAAAAAAAGTGTTATACAAATATAAAGTTGCCTATCTTTAGAGATGGGATGCATACACAGTATCTCTTCCCAGACTGTCCCGCGGTCAGATGCCCCTCCCCCAAAATTGTACTGTGCTACCGACTACCGAGTAATATCAACTGCAAGTGCTGTTCATGTATTGACACATGTATAGTAGGATAGTTTACAAATTTCCACTGATGTACACTGTACATGTACAATGTATAGATTGGCATCAACTTTGACATTTTCCAGTAAATTTGTTGGTGTAATGCCTCAAAGCAGGATGTCTTGAACAATCTTATCCTTCTACCAATATCTCTCCTTGATCCAGCTCAATATAAGCTTGCATATTAATCAGAGGCACACCATCATAACCCATCGATCTCTTCACCAATATACTAGGAAGTATGAGAAATCATATTTGGCAAAGTGATTAAGATTGTGATGAATGCATTAAAGAATTGTATTCATCCTGTAAGAATTTTACTGCCAACTCTTTTGAGAAGTTAGATACATTCATATAATCTCAGATTTAATTATAGCCAGTATGTAGCTTGTTTTGATTGAGGGTTTTCTGAGATTTTTATTTTCAATTTATCATTTCCAAGAGTCCGTTGAAGTGTATGTACAAAATACTATTTCGGATTAAATCAAGGAAGTGTTGGGAATGATTTCTTTTTTCTATTAGGAAATAGATGATTTATACTGCTGTATGGCAAATTTCCCAATCGAAATCCCTATTGGAAGCCCCTTTTAATTTTATGTTCAGAAAAAATTGTTATTGCACCACATCCGCATTAAGCCTCTATGATCATGCAATTCTACCTTAGTCAGAATTATAAAATGGAATCTGGATGCCGACTGCTATTGAAATGCATCCGTTTTTAATGAAGGATCTTCTTCATTCAGAAGTTTCTTACTTTCTTACCCATGATTAGGGCTGATACTTTGCTTCCTGATGTTGCTGTTGAAAGCAACATTTGGGAGTTTGGCATCGCATTTGAAAATGAATCACATTCCAAACTTATGCGCCCTAATCAATTGAGACTAGGGGTAATTTCAAGTTCTAACCATGAAGCTGTATCTCAAATGAAGCTTTCTAAGATCAACCAGCATTGTTGATAATTGTTATTGAAATCTAGAATCAGGGAATTTCCCTCATTGTACAGTATCTTCATATTTGAAAATCGCTAGATGCTGTACATGATAGTCATTTACTGCATCATAGTGCATCATAATAATGTACTGCAATCATTCTTTACATGTAGATCTGTAAACAAAAAATCATCATTTCATATAAACTTGAGAGTGCAAATTATTTTTACCCATATTTTGTTTGTGGTCAGCTCAAAACATTTAATTTCTGGAATAGTTATGACATTTTTATCATTTTGATTTTGATTTGTGATTTTCAAAATAATAAACAAAAGATGTATGCATTGTTATTTAGAAGAATTGATACCAAGAACACAAACCTTCAGAACAGTATGCTAGGAGTGAAATAGGGGGGGGGGGGGGGGGGGGGGTGGACTTTGGTACCATTTCCAATAATTTTGGGCCTGATATGTTATTTAAGGGCAGGTCCAAGCTATTTGGATTGTGACGTACGGGACATTTAGAGACTTTAAACAAGAAATAACAACAGATGAAATTATTTATCTGACTATCTTTTGGTATGAGTCTGTGGCTATTATGGGCTAGTTCATTTGTGGAAAGTTTTAGTTCTGACCAATTCATAAATTAATTTTTAATGTAACTAATGTGCTGCGTGACGTACGGGACGCTGTGGTCCCGTACGTCACGCAGCACATTAATTACATTTAAAATTAATTAAAAAATTGGTCAGAACTAAAACTTCCACAAATGAACTAGCCCATAATAGCCACAGACTCATACCAAAAGATAGCCATATAAATAATTTCATCTGTTGTTATTTCTTGTTTAAAGTCTCTAAATGTCCCGTACGTCACAATCCAAATAGCTTGGACCTGCCCTTAAATTTCATGAATCTGTATGATTTGAGTTGTTTTGTTTCATTTTGTGAGTTATTTCTCTTCTTAATGTTTTGACTTTTTAGTTTTTATTTGCTTTTACTATTTTAAAGAAGGGAGGGGGAGGGAATCAATGCTACAATACAAATTAATTTGGTTAATCACTAGTCCTTGTCTTTGTTTTATACAATTTTTTTTAACGACAGGTTGCCTTAATCCAAAGATCCTGGAGATCTCTGTCGGGACTGCCAAGTATGAACATGCCTACAGAGCTGTGATGTGGAGGATAGACAGACTACCAGAGAGAACCACAGGTATGTAAATAAATTAAGTCTGGTGACTACCAAGTATGAACATGCCCGGTGAGTTGTGATGTGCAGAATAAACACACTACATTTTGATGATTTTGCACCAGAGAGAACCACAAGTAAATGATGTGGTGTGAGGACCAGACAAGGGACATGATTGACAGAATAGCAATGAATACAGACATACTAAAACTCTTCATCATGCACTCATCAGAGCAAAATTGCAAGACTGAACAGAAAGCTGAAATCAGACAATCTATTACAGTGGAAGCAGAAGGAAAAAAGTTCACAAAAATAACATGGTTCTTTCTGTTCATTCTTGCGATTTACTCTGATGAGTGCAAGATGACGAGCTTTAGAAACGGAATAGTTGGATAACTGTCAAGTATGAACATGCCTACCAAGATATGGTGCAGCTAGGGGTTGACAGGCTCTCATAGAGAACCACAGGTAAATGATATACATTACATATACATGTACATAATGATACAGTCAGGTGATTACATGTATGAACATGGCATCAAGTTGTGGTTTGGAGTCTAGAGAGACTCCCAGAGATGACTGAATAGAAGGGAAATAATGTAGACTTATGATTTATTCATACATGAAGTCATCAAATATGAACATGGCCAACATTTACCCAGCTGTGGTTTGGAAACACTCAGAGAGGACTGAAGTTATAGATGATGTAATGTAGATCACATTACAGCAGCAGGTGTGTACATGACACATTGTGGTGTAGCTGCATGTATGTGGTGTAGCTGCATGTATGCCCCGCCCCTCCCCCCCCCCCCCCCCCCCCCCTCAGTGTTACTTAATGCTGGAGCGTTGTATAAACGACTGCTAGGCTAAAGCCGGGGTAATAATAAATGTGCCTCGGAATAGAATTATCTAGATAGATGGCACTATAGAAATGCCTATTATTATTATTATTATTAGGCGTATGCATTTCCCCTCCCTATCTCCTGTGTGTAAAGTCAATATGGGCTGGATTTTTGTGAATTACAGGCCGGACTTGTTGCGTGAAAAGAATCCCTTTATACCAGAGATTTTGGGAACACAAATGCGGTCCTTCCTACCCCGAAGTGGGGGGGGGGGGGGGGGGGGGGGTGTGTATGCCCATGCAATGATTCTCATTTGCACCATTTATTTTCAAGTATTTTGGGTTGCAATTTGAATTTCTGATGTTATTCATCTGTACAAATTCTTTGAATTTTTATTATCCAGAACTCAATCATTATGACCCAAAATTTTGAATCAGTTTCTTACAATAAATTACATGTATGCTGATAGGTGCACTTAGCAAAAACTGCATAATAACGTTAAAGTGGAGGAAGTGTCGTCACAAACAGTTGCAAAAGATTATCAGATGAACTCATGAAGCATTTGAGTGAGAGCAGAAGCCATTGAACTACTCTACCCTGGAGAGACAGGAAATCCAAAAGATTAACAGCATTTACTGGGTGTGGAGGGAAGATTTCCAAATGGCCCATTAGTTTCTACAGATTTTCTGATCTAAATGCAAGAGTTCATTAGCTAGATTGGTCTAACATGGTCCTAAGCACTGGGTATAATCGCATGAGCTTTATACTCTTCAGGTTTGGTAAATCATGTAGCGGTTATGCGGAGTGATTAATAAGGTAGCAAACCAATTACTGCAATGGATACTTGAGGCCTCTTCAGATTGTAATGGCAAATCAGTGTTGAGTAATCATATAATAGTTATGAGGAGTGATTGATAGTGAACTTACTTGTAGCTGATGCCTCTTCCAATACTTACGGCAGAATATACATTGTAGAATTTTACAGTGCAATTGAAACCCTTCAGCTTGATTTACTCTGTTAAATGTATCATAACATATTAAATGTAGATGTGTGTGTTTCTATATTTGTTTGTATTTAACTTTACAATGTAAGCAAGTTATGTATTGTATGATAGGCAATAATCATCTTTTTATCTTTAACTTTCAATCTCATCTACAGTAATTCTGAATTTGTCTTCTGTACTCTCACCATAAGCAGTTCATTTTCCCAAGCATTGATTTCATTGACTGCATCAGATGCTCATATGTCACCTAGTACCATTTTCCTCTTGGTATTCACAGCTGTTTATTTTTATTTGTTATTTTGTACTGTGATAGGTCACCCTTCAACCTACATTCTCAAGTGTAACCTGAACCTGAGTTCTGCAAGAGAGGTGAGCAAGACGTTCTCTCGCACCATAGAGGTGGAGTACCACACCCCTCACACCACCGCTTCCAAGACGACTGTACGCTCCCTGGCCGTCTCCAGTGAGAAGTCTCCGGAGAAGAGGATACGCTACATGGCAACCTACGAGTACCAGGTGCAGATTGAGGACAACTATATCCGGCATTCTCTGGTCGAGGACAACGATGCGCCCGGAAGATGTTTGCAGCAGTGAAGACCACATTCCACTTCCCACCCACTCCAGGACTACTGTCCCCTTCCTAGCTGTCTTCTCTTTACCCTTTTTCTAGATGTTCCCAGTGAGAGGACATTCTACCTGGCCTTTTACAAGTACCGGGTGCAGACTGAAGACAGCTACATTTGCCCAGTATATGTCTGCAGCAGTGAAGACCACACCACTATTACAACCCCTCAAAGACAACGGTCCATTCTCTGGTTGACTGCCACGAAATGATTCAGAGCAGATGATACACTTGTATCTATCTACCCGGTGCAGATTAATGATATCTGCATCAGATTCAGGTACTACTATTCTGCTCTTGTTTATTGCGAAGTACCCAATACATGTATGCAGCTGTGAAGACTACACCAGGCTCACCATCCCTTCCAAGACTACCCTCCTCTCCCTAGCCTTCTCAAGTAAGAAGTCCCCTGGACGACCAGATGCATATCATATTCATATTCATATTCATATTTATTTCATTTCCAACAGGACGGCCGCACCAGGCATGCTGCAGTCCACGATGATGATACTGCTTTACCCAATGCATGTCTGCAATAGTTAAAACCACACCCCTTCTTACCACCCCTCCAAGACCATTGTCTACCCTTTTGCTGCCTCTAATGATTCCTTTCTGCCACGTTTTTTTAGGAGAAAAGAGAATTCCGGTCATATTCCATTAAACATTCACAAATTTTCACCTGACCAAAACTATTACATCATCATTCCACTGTATATTCCAAAGTTTATATTCCAGTTAAATGTAAGTTTAGGAGGATTTTTGCATTTTAGGGTAAATGATTACCATTTGAAATCTGTGTGGTTTTTGGGGTCAGTGTTAGTTCAGTGATCCAAGAATACAGGTATGAAAAGCCAAATTGCTAACATTCTATTCCAAAAAGATGAGGTGCTCAACTCATTTCTAAAAGTGGGTTGATCTTCATATTAAAAAGAAAAAATTGACACAGAATAGGTGCAAGATTGAAAGTGGTGTATGTATGCATGTAGTGACCTTATTGATATGTTATGTATGTTAGACAGACTGGCAGTTTGCTTGCTTTTCAACCAATCTACAACTCGATATCATCCCTATTCTTTATTTCAATTAATAATAATGTGATAATCAACATTACTCAGTAAAAATTATCAGGAATATATATATATTAATTTGTATACATGTACACATATTCCTAAGAATAGAATTCCCTCTCCCTCTAATTGTAGATTATACATATAAACTTTCCATGTCCAGTACACATACCTGCTAACCATGAGTGTCAAAATGTGAGGTTTCTTTGACAGAAGCACCTTCATATTGATACTAATGTGAGAAAGCTGATACAGGCCTACGTTAGAAATATAACTATAAATGTAGACGTATGATGGAAGTGTACAGTAATGTATGTTGCAGCGTCTGTATTTTTATGAAGACATTTTTGTTAGAGATGTCCTTTTTATAAAAAAGTATACGCAATTATGCTCCTACAATTTCTGCATAGGTGTACTTACCTCAATTTTTTTATCTATGGGAAGGGAGTGTGCGTTCATGTAATTTGGTTTTTACAGACGTGTACATGTATCAATCTGATATGATTATTTACGTCTGGGGACTGACCTCTAACGTCACCATCCGAAAAAAGTGACTTAGTTTCGAAGCGGGGTCCGTCTGAGTCAATTTTACGCATAAGGATTTACGCATACTGCCATCTGCTGCTCACAATGTCTCAGTGTGTTGATAGCCGAGGCCCACAACAGATCACCAGTGTGATGAAGTTGCTCTTTGTACGCCTTCACCCAAAGATGGCGCAATTGAAAATATATCACAGCAATGGTAGCGTTGACGGTAAAATATCCTCCTTTTAAAGCCAAATTTAGTAATTCTTTATTCCATTTCGTAATCTTGGTGCTAAACTGTAGCTTAAATCACTGTGTACTTTTCGAGAATCATTTTCACATTCTAATCAGCTACAGCGCCTTCTCTCAGAGGCCTATGAGAATTTTGAAAGCCTCACAATCTGTAATGCTGGATGGATGTCATGGGAGTGATTTTGAGTGAATCCACATTGAAGTGATATTGCAATTGTCTGGAGAAAAAAAAAGGAACTGTCACTGTTTGAAATGAAACAATGAGACACAAGTTACTGAATGTACTCAGTTGATGAGACAAATGCAAATAGATATTCATTGAAATATGAAATTAGATAAAGCAAGTGTGGGGATGCTTTCCAGATTTTGACTAATAATGATATTTATTAATATAGTATTCACATAATTATAAGAAGTGTTATAATAATTGTCTAACACCTCTAAACATAACCTGTGTGACCAACAGTCTGTGCATCATTAACTTGTGAAATATTGCGCACGATTATAACTTATAATTTACCACTTGTGCTGGATTACTGACTCTAACTCATTAAAATTGTGCATTTTAAGTACTAATGGTGTATATTTTTTTCTTTATACAATTCTAATACATTTATATTGTAATTTTTTTATTTATCGTATTAATTGTGGTTATAACTGTCTTTATGTAAATTAATGTGTTGTCTTTGTCTGCATCAAATGCATTATGATTCTTATTTTTTTTAATTTAATGTTCAAACAGCTATGACAATGGTTGCTTTAAATAAAAGTGCTGACTTTTTTTGGTGTACCGGTATGTTATTTTTTGTAACGGCAACTGGTTGCTGAAGAATTTGTGAAAGAAAAATAGATGTAAGTACCGATTGGACACTATTGACAGTGACCCCCTGAGGACTGATATATAATCTTGCTAAGTGTTACTGGATTACTTTAACTTGGTGATGGTAGTAGGTATGGAGATGTTTATACTCAGTTGGCACTTTCAATTTAAGTTATTTGGCATCATAATGAAAATCAAATATAAATCATAAGTACAGATTACCTTAATATGCCAGGACCCCTAAGAAGCAACATTTGCTTGTCAATGGGGCCCCCTCATAAGTTGAGCACTACTTTAAATGAAATTACAAACAAGACTGCTCTTGACTACATTCATGAAGCAAAGAAACATGGATATTCATAGTTCATTCTCTAACTATTAAATTAAAGTAAGGTACTTGCTTACTGTTTTATACCTTTATAGAAAATGCAATACTTTGCAACCGTTGAAAATCATGATTTTGTTGCATAGTGGTACATGTAGAGTTGTAGATGTAGGACTATGTCATTATGACATGAAGCGGGTCAATACCTCTGCTACATTGAATAGGCTTGGTATTACTTAAATCATCTTGCAGATATTTCAAATTACAATGTTTAATTAACAGACAATACCGACTATTATGCATTTTGGATTCTAAATACGTCATTTCGTGCCAATCCTTTTATTGCTATTATAGCTATGTTTATAAACTGTACTGATTTTGTGTGTAGATTTCGAAAGAGATCGTTACAGAGAACTGTTCCGATTTTTTTCAACACCTCTGTCTTTTGAGACCTACTCCTGCACCCACTGCAGCGGCAAGACATGGTTAAAGATTGTAGAGTGAAACCTGTTTATAAAGATCACCCAAGGAAGACAAGAAAAGTGGTCTTTATAGGCAGGTGGTCACTATGTAAAGGTTCCTTTAGTACATGCTTCAATGAGAAACAATTTTCAAGGGAAAAAAAAGTGTGGTCTTTGTAGACAGATGGTCACTAAAACAAGTTTGACTGTACTATACAAAGTGTTGGTTATTGGGCTGGTGTATGATGCAAATATTCTGTGCGTAATCTGTTGTATGAACTACACATTTGTTAGCATAACTGAGCTGGCAGACAAGTGCTGAAAGATGAAAAAAAATCCATCCATTGGCAGAATATTGATGAAACATTGTGCCATGAAAGTCAAACAAACATTGATGTAGGTGTAACAAATGGCCTTCAGATTTCTGAGTAGACTATATGATGTCAAGATTTTCTATTTTGATGGATGTCTCGTGTTTACAGATGTATATTATTTTGTGTACATTCTGATGTTAAGCTGATAATGCCTAATAGCTGGAATGGGTCTATATTGATAGAACGTAAAAATGTTTGCCAATCTGTTGAAAGTGCCTATTTGTTCAGCCAATAATTACTCTTCACACCTTTGTATCTATTTTAAGACATACCGGTAGCAATAGGAACACATATTGCTTGCTTGGTCATCGTCTACAAATACAACTATTGACATACGTGAAAGTATTGCAAAGGCGTTGAAACGGTTTATGAAGGGGGTTATTTTGTAGAATTGTGCCTTTTAAAACATTAAAAAGCTCAAGAAATGTGTTTACATGTATGTATGTATGGCTTATATCTTTTCAAGATTTTCTATTCACACAGCCAAAAGTCTGCCAGTTTTATATGGTGAAATATTGCTAGATGCCTTGCTCAAACTTGATGCATTTTAAATCTTTGCTGTTTTTAATATAAAATATATAATATTTTGTGTACAGTAACTTCTAAGAGAAACTACATGTACCTTTACAAATTGTAAATGGGACAAAAAATATTTTGGTTATAAAAATATGTTTATCTTATCAACGAATGTAAGATCTTTTATATTACTCGATTTCAATCAAATATAAAGTAATATTTGATGCAGCTCTATAAATACATCACTCAATGCTGAGTGCAGAAACTGCAATTCCAGTGTATAGATCAGAGTGTTGTGTATGGTGCTATTTACAAATGATAGGTCTTTAACAGCTCTTTAGCACCAGTACCGACAACACTGAAGAATTTACAATGAATAAATTAAAAGTGATCGTTACGCAATTAAATGTAATGTAAATAACTTGCTAACAGTAATCATAGGCTAGAAGAGAATAGTTCATGTGATACTGATGATGATGATTCACAGCATTTGTATGGCACCATATATCTGTTTCAAAAAACATTCAAAGGCGCGAGCTCCTCCAATAAAGTTAGCATTTAAATTTCTGAAGGAAAATGTGAGTTTTGAGTGAAGCTTTGAAGTCGAAATGTTCAAGCAATATTGCCTTGAAAATAAGAGTTAAAAAAATGTTATGGCACTCAGTACTGCTGGCTGCATTGCTAAATTTCATTTCGGTGTCTTTTTTTATTGTATTCATTGAAATAATTTTCTATTGTGCAGAGTAAAGTACACGTAGTTAGTATTGAAAATTAGGTGGAGTACATAGTTATTTTGAAATAAATTATACTATTTTCTTCGGTGCTGGGGAACTCATCGTCATTTCCAGATAATCTATTCCAGATATTGTACACAGTTTTGTGAATAAATTATATTGCTATTAAATCAGAACGTATATAATTAGAAATATTTATTCAATTTCTTTTATTACCATAAAGAGTTGTTTCCAAGGTGTAAAGTGAATGAGTTGAGCAAAGATACAGTCTGAAGACGAATTTTTGAGACTCCAAGCATAAAGATTGTTTTATTTTTTTTCTTCCTGTTTTTAATGTGTTTTTTTTCAGAAGAAAATTTTTATTCAATCATTCTTGAGCAAGAACAAAACAATAGATTTGAACAAAGTATATTTTGTGACATTTCGGTAAAACAAACATTGTTACATTAGTCACACATGTCTCCATTTATTTATCTAGTAATACAACAAATTTATTGCGTGTGATAGAAAGAACCCGTGAAACTTCGTAAAAACGTCTTCTTAAAAGAATTCAAAGATAGCTGTTCTCTTTTGTATTTCGCAGAGAATATATAGTGTTTGCATATAAAATGATGAAATGAAAGATAGATTGCCATCTTGGAAATAAAACAATTTTTTTTTTTTTTTTTTAAATTCAAAAGCACTTCATTGTTTAGAATAGAGCTTTGGAAGTCTTGAATAAATTGAAGCGTACTTGGGCAATCCCAAAACAAATGTGAAATACTTTCAACAGAGGATAAGCAAAATGTACAGTTGTAGCCCAATTAATTTCCGAGATCGGAACCTTAACGATCTAACAGAAATTTGATGAACATATTGGCATACTTTGATAAACTTCTTTTAAGTATGTAGTAATTCCTCTGGGGGTGTCTTGCTTTCAGCTTGGTGCTGTAGGATACAATTTTTCCTATCTTTAGGTGTGGAGATTAATGAGAAGTAGTCAAGAAAATGACGTTGAACTTTATATTTTTGAATTAATTTCATATGAGAATAAAATTTACCATGGCATGCTCATCTGACAAATGTCTTGTACGATTGATTCCAATATCTATCCAATACAACATTACCATTTATTCTAATAAGAGTGTCATTCCACAACACTTGATCTTGAATGTTTACATCAGTCAATTTAGGGGAGAATGTCGACGCACTCCAAGCAAATAAAATTTCACGTATAAAGTGGTTCCTTACATTGGATATTTTGGGGTCATTAAACTTTAAATTGCACAACCAAAACAAATCTTCCCCGAGATATTTCAAATAGTATTAAAAAAAGCATTTCTATTTACCTGTATTTTCTACACCAATCAATCGTTTTACCATGCAATTTTCAAACCTTTAATAACTGAAGGAAGATATAACACTTTTAATCCATCTTGATTATAATCTCCAATGATTGTATGACGGTTAATCATATCTGGTTTTCTACTCCATATCAAGGAGTACATCAAATAATCAATTTCTTGCAAAAATTCTTCTGGCGGCTTTGGCAGAACGGATAAAAGATGTACTAATTGAGACAGGCTCAGCGACAGTGATTTTCTCTATAGGGGATAAATATCTCATATTCCATATTCTTAAAATGTTTTTCAATTTTTTTTTCTTCAATTTTGAAGGAATATTTAATTCAAATATATCATTAAGATTAATAGAAAATATATCCCTCTATAGGGGTCCATTGGAATATCTAAGTCCAGAAAAAAGATATGTCGGGAGGGTGGGCTTTGTAATACCCAAGAGCTACTATTTCCGATTTGATCAGGTTGATGGATAGTCCTGAAAACTTTAAATTGGTCCAAGATATATACATACTAATTTTAAGCGACGCGACGTCGTTTAAATAAAACGTTATGTCATCAGCATGTATTAACAGAGCTGCCAACCTCCAGAACAGAAAATCAGTAATCACAAGGCTTAAAATCAGTAATTTTGGGTATAAATCAGTAATTTTCTATGCGGCGCTATGACTCTAATAAAAACGGCACGCCAACATTGCACAGACACATGATTATCTGAAATTTTTGGTGATTTTACTCACACAAAGTTGTTAAATAATGAGTTTCATATCATCACAACACAGTCTTCCAGGAAAAATGGGGGGGGGGGGGGGAATATATATTTAAAAAAAAAAAAAAAAAAAAAAATTTAAAATCCGTAATTTTAAACAACATTCCGTAATGGGCGTTAATTTCCGTACCAATTACGGGAAATCCGTACTAGTTGGCAGCTCTGTATTAAGCTTAATTTCTGCACCGTTTACTCTGATGCCTTTAACATATCTCTCCTAATTCCTTATCCATATACACATTATTTCATTACAAATTATATACAGAAGGGGCTTAAAGGGCAACCTTGTCTGTTTTTTAAATCTACACATACTTGGGATGGAATGTCCAATCTTTTTTGGTATAAAGAAATATTTTATTTGGCAGTTGTGTAGCATGGGTTAAGTCATTGAGGGATGACTTTGGGCAATGTTGGGCACCGAATTTACAAGATGGATATAACGATAAGGCCGTGGAGTTGCGGGAGGGGACTATATCATCCTTCTTCACATTCTCTTCCTCTCTCATTCTTCTGTTCTTTCTTTTTCATCATTTTTTAAGGGGGCGGGGGGATCGTGGGGTCCCCTCATCTGTTCAGTTCTTCACTCCGTGTTGAAAAAAAAATGTTTTGATGTTTTGTATGACTATTTCGTCATAGTAAACAAGGAAAAAAGAAAAAGAAAGAAAATAGAAGCAAAAAAAAAAAAAAAAAAAATTGTAATGATGAGAGCTGTACAAATTTGCATGTGAGATAAATTATACATCTAGTTTTATTGTTTGGGTTAGTCTGTACACAGCTTATAACCTGACAAACATTGCAATTTGCAAATAAGAGTGAAATAGTTTTATTTATTGTAATCCGATGCTTGATTTCGGCTTGATGAAGCAATGTAGGAATCGGAAAAACAGTGTTTTTACAAGATATACATGTATGTATCAAAGTTTGTTCGATCTCATCTATGATAGAAAGTTTAAAAAAAGTCAAAAATATTGGAAAGAAATCAATAGAGAAAATGCAAGATAAAGTGAAAAGAAAAAAAAGGACATATAACGTAAATAGAGATGGGCAGAAATAGAGAAAAAGAGAAAGAGAAAAAAAGAGCAATTGAAACTGCTTTTAAAATCAATTAACATCCAAAGTACATTGTCAAGTTAAAAGCATTGCGCCCTCAAAGATCAAGTCGTCCATGCCGAGATTTGTTTAAACCCATTTAATTAAAGAGCAACTTGAGTGAAAATTATGCTAAAATACATTGTATCTAACAATAAAAGTGTTGTTTTGTTTCTTTTCACGTGACTCGCTTTGATACGGATGTTAACTTCATAAAAACTGCATTTAATTTCAACTACGTAATGAGAATCTTTCATGAATCATCCAACAAGAACGAAGTGTCGATTGGTAATTTGTCTTGCGGATTGACATAATTTGTTGCTGTTCCGACATTTTAAACTCTTTGATTTTTTAATTCAAAAGAAGTGACGCACAAAAAGTCATAAATGTATGATATCGAATCTCATTATTCATCCTGATTTAATTAAGATCGAATTATATGCACACAAAGACCTATCTGTTGGTACACGAAAAACAAAAAACTATTGGCAATTCACGCACCGGGTTATCATATTCATTAAAAGGGAATACGAATCTTAAAATCTTAAAAGGGGAAAAAGATCAGCAAACATCTACTACCTTTTAATATGAAGACATAGGTATCAAAAAAATAAATGAAAATAAAAGCTAATCATACTAAATATATTTGTTCTTGCACGCCGTCGGGTATATTTATGTTTTGTCCAATCTTCCTGTTAACATTACGGAATCATCGAGTTCGAGAGCAGAACTTATACCGCAAGGAATTTGAATATGTTAAATTGCATTCATTTTTATTTACTCACATTAAAATTATCATTATTATTATTATGCAAAGTTCTTTCAAAGTAAATCAAATTGTATTTGTTGACAAGCTGACAAATGGGATTACGAGGTCTTGAAAACGTTAAAAATTATCACTGGCATAGTGGCCTAAAGAACAAACATCAATTTCGTCACCCTCCCGATCGTCATCAAGGTCTTCGTCATATTTTGGCGGGATCCGAACCTGCTCCGCGAAGTTTGATGTCACTTGGCTGGTTTGCATCACAGGCAAAAGCGAGTCCGCAAGGCTCTGGAAGGAAGGTACTCCTGCGTACTTGGAAGGGTTGGTGTATGGAGACGGATAGCTAAAGACGGGAGAGCTCTGAGTGGGCAACGTCGGAGAGGGGTAGTTGAAGGAAGGGAGAGAAGAAGTAAAGAATCCAGGAGAAGGAATATCACTTGTCGGCAGGGTCGTGTTTGCCAGGAGGCTTAAGCTGAATGGTGAGAAAGTAGGAGATGGGTCGATTGGAGATCGGATGTCGGTGAAGCTACTCTCATTCGTCTGTAGAGACGGGATGGTGATTCTAAGAGGAAAAGGACGACGAGATTTATAGGACGGTTCAGGAGAGTGATCCGACGAGACAGCTTCTGGGCTTTTTGTCGCGGTTACCGCTTGCGGACTCCAGGAAAAGTCGTCCGAGTGATCTAGGGGCATGTCTTGCGATTGTTCTGATGTTGTGGCTCTTTGTGACCGGAATGCAGGCTCGTCGTCTTGGTAGGGAATGTCATTCTGCGAATAGAAGGGAGGCTCGTCTATTGTGTGAAATGTATACGCAGCTGTTGACGTAACTCTTGGCGATGGATGTCGATCTGTATTGATATAAGATCGCTGCGCCGCCGTCACGACGCTTGGAGGTAACGAGGACATTGGTGTCGCTTGCTCATCGAAAGGTGATACTCTTAACGAACTTGGAAAGGTGGACACTTGGGGATGAAATTGAGCCTGGTCTGGGACGTTACAGTAGCACATGCTTTGTACTGTTTCTCCGGCACGAAAAAAAGTGTTGGGCATGGAACTGATCCGCGGGGCGGCAGTGGAATTCATCTGCGGGTTTGCCGACATGTAACTGTCACGATATGCCGACTCTGTGTCCATCATGGGATTTTGGAAGACCGGTCCCGTCTTGTAATTCGCTGTAACGGAAACTTGGCATCGATACGTTTCATCTACCAGAGATGAATGGAATGATGGTCTTGGACAGTACTGTGACGCTTGTCCCATAACACTATGAGCTGACGAAAGGTTGGCTGAAGTTGCAGTCATTCGGCTAGGAAAATATCCCGATGGTGGGTCCATGGATTCGTAAGACGCGACCATAGAACTTGGTGTTAATGGTCTCACGGTGCGATAAGCACTGAGAGAAACCTGGGGTCGATACATTTCATCGACCTGAGAGGTGTGAAATGATGCTGAGTGATAATGTGGCGCTTGTTCAAAATTTCCTTGGGAGGCCGGCGAGGCTCCAGGGATTCGATCGCTGAGATTTGTAACCCGCGGGTCACTGGATTGGTAGGTCATAATAGGACTTGGCATTATCCGCCTACTCGAGGGATTCGCTGTGAAGACCATCCCCGGTCGATGAGAATCAAGTTTCTGAGCCGACTGGAAGGATGTGGGATAGTACTGCGACGCTTGTCCAAAAACATTCTGAGATGACGACGACGACATTTGTGTCGGCTGTGATAAGTTCGCCTGAGACGAGTCCCACGAAGAATATGGACTGTTGCCGTATCCTGTCAAAGAAAAGAAAAGTTTAAGCAATATTTTGCTTTCATTAAATTTGTATAGATTCCTTCAATTGTGGCCATCATTTCCTTTCGAATAAAATGATTACTGTTTTGATCATTGTCGGCACAATTAATGACGAAGATGGGTAACATTTTCGTGTTCTCGGTTATCAAGTTATGCGAACAATCGAATCAAACCCTTTTTCCCACCATGATTATGGAGAGAGCAAATATATAAGAATATTACTTTACTATCGATTCTTACAATCTAATCATCCCTCAGAAGGATTAAGATCTGAGGAAGAATCAGGATTCAAGGGACGGGGAGGGGAGGCGCAAACTGAGGCCAACTTAAGTACGAATATTAATTGGTAGGAAAGGAAAAAAAATATCAAGCTAATATATATTTTTGAAGTGGAGCTGGAGAGGCTAAGGTTGTTTAGCCTTGTAAAATTATGTAAACGAAATTCCTTAACTGTAATTACACCGTCTCCTCGCAAGAAACATACCGATATTTGTCGAATCTGGCGACGGCTGAACAACGGGATACGCCATCTCATCTGAATTTGGTCCTTCGGAGGTGAGATCAATCACTGGAGGAGGCAGTGGTACATCATGATGAAAGCGTTGGCTCTCCCGTAGCTGTTCAGAGGTGTCCTGGTCTTGCCTGTGCTGTCTCACCTGCTCTCGACTCAGGGCTACCTGCTTGGCCATCACCACTCGCCGCTGACTCACGACGATACATCGAGTACACCGGCAGTAGCGGTACTCGCATAATCTCTTGTGGCCTTTGAGGTCCAGGATGAGCCCGTGGTTGCGGCATCGAGCGCAAGTCGGATGCCGTTTCTTGAGGGGAAGACACCTTTGTAGCTCATCATCTACATGTAGTCCTATCCCATCTTCTTCGTCTAGGAGGGGAAGGGGATAGTAAAAATAACAGATGTACTGAAGGAGAATCCAAACTTTAATAGGACTAGCAGCCATATATAAGTGACTGAATGTTGTCTAAATTGATATAGGCCTATAAAGGCTATATGAAAAAACTTTATCAAATTGTAGCTTGTCACATTGTTAATATAATCCTTAGATATGTCTTTCTACTAGAGTGAGAATGGATGGATACACTAAAGTACTAGACCACTTCCATTTCGTCAGATTTTAAAGAATAATCTAAAATCGTGGAATTTGCCATGTCCTTTTATGTTGTAATGGCAATTCAAAGTGCCATAGTGTCCATTTTCATCTTTCGTACCAAGGAATATACCCCAAAAAAAGTTCATTGTACCACCGCCCTCGCCTCTCCCTGATAATTCTAGACCTGATTTTGTCTGTATAATTGTGATTCAGAAATGTAATTATTATATAAATCACTATTCTATAAGCCTGGGGTTGAAACGGTCAAATATTTCAAACGAATTTCAAAAAAACATGAAACTTGTAACTCTTGAGGTACAACGCCGAGTACTGTTTTTTTTTATGAGGTAACTGTGGAAAACACATGACGAAAACAGTCCATTTAAACTTCACCCCACTTTGGACCCGAAAGTGGGGTGCATTTTGGTGGTAAGCTCACCACAGAGCAAGAGAGAGTTAGAGTCCCTAATCTGCAGTGTAAACAAACTTTGCCAGGACATCGCCAGCCCAACCTTGATAAGTACTGCTTGGAACTCCTCCATGATGTTCTAGTCTTATTCGCAGTCTCATATAGGTTCGGATTATGTCCATTCTCATAGCTACCGGTATACATGGGAGATGCCAGTTTCATCTTCCTTGCTTCACTTTATAAGCATAGTTATATCAGGAACTTCCTGGTTATAATTATGTTCCTTTCAAGTTTCATCATAATTGTCTAGTTCGATATAGTACATGGACACAATTAAATATGATATTGTCTAAAATTGTCAAAAATATCTTAACATCGAAATGATTTCTGGTCATGTTTAACTATTTTAATTGAAGCCTTTTTACTTGATCTAATACTTTCATGATGATGACATAGTCCGCAATAAAATTGACAAACATTATCATCCATACTATATGTCGTAGTTTATAACAATAATTACTCATGAACCTCACACTACAAGGACAACATTCATCCAGATTCTGAGATTGCTCATTCTCACGAAGCTTGGTGTACGCGAAGATATCGGGAAATAAAGCGGTCTGTAATACCAGACACGCAAGTGGGGTATTTCGGTCCCCGTTCACCGAAAAGTGAGATTCTCCATTTGAAAGTCGGGTAAGGTTGACAAATATAGCCTCTGTTAAAGGCGTTACTCCGCCACCAAATCTATTCGCATAGACGAAATAAACTCGAACTTGTTTAGAAAAATGGTGTAGGCCTAGGCCTATAAGAAAAGGCCGGGAAAACATACATTTTGTTGGTTTGACCGTTAAATATTTTTGAGGTATTAAAGCAAGAATAGAATGTTGTAAATATTGTTTTTGTTACATTTATTCCGTGCGTAATCTGAAGGTCTACTCAACTTTCTTTGCCTATTTCTTGCCCCCCCCCCCCCCCAAACGGCAGATCAAGGATTTGAAAATAGGGAGTGGCCGGGGCTCAGACGTCAAATTTGAAATAGGGGGGGGGGGGGTGGTTGTTTAGGCAGACGGCATATTTCTTGGAATTCGTTATAAAGACGGTATTTAAAAAAAATGATGATTCTGGCAAAATAAGAATTGAATTTCATAAAACTTTTATTCGATTTAATATGATCCGTATACGTATAGGATACAATATTTATTTCCCCACAACACATCAAGCCGTGATGATTGAAAGTCCATTGCATGTAACACGAAAGAAACAGAAACTCTCAAATCTACAATCCTTTAGAAAGATAATAATTAGCTGAGTAATCATTTAGGGCATTACAAGACATCGAAGGACTTAATCTATTTTGCAATAGTTGATGCAACCATAATGGAACATTATGCTTCTCGATACTGAGGATATGAAATTTCAGCACAAGAGTATTTGGTTTCAAAATTTTATAGCAGTTCGTTAAAGAAACATTTCGATGCTCACTTTTATAATAAATCTCTATGACAAGCTCATTTTTATCACGACAGTTAAACCTTTTCACTTTTTGATATTAAAGATTGTTGAAGAATTGCCTAATTGACTGCTCGGATGATTTTTTACCTTTCTCCGAAACCTCTTGGTTTTTTACTCATGATTATAGCGCATTATTCTTTTTGTCACTGTATGTATTAATAAGCAAATACATATCTGCACAACGAACGTCTTTATGATTATGATGTCCTCGTTTCGTTGTATGTTATAAATTCAATATCATGACGAGAAGTGCGTCAAAAATATCTTAACATCGAAATGATTTCTGGTCATGTTTAACTATTTTAATTGAAGCCTTTTTACTTGATCTAATACTTTTATGAGGATGACATAGTCCGCAATAAACTTGACAAACATTATCATCCATACTATATGTCGTAGTTTATAACAATAATTACTCATGAACCTCACACTACAAGGACAACATTCATCCAGATTCTGAGATTGCTCATTCTCTCGAAGCTTGGTGTACGCGAAGATATCGGGAAAGAAAGCGGTCTGTAATACCAGACACGCAAGTGGGGTGTTTCGGTCCCCGTTCACCGAAAAGTGAGATTCTCCATTTGAAAGTCGGGTAAGGTCGACAAATATAGCCTCTGTTAAAGGCGTTACTCCGCCACCCAATTCGGAACAGCTTGCCACATGCAGTATCGTGAATGCGCCCGGCACTCTGAGTGGCCGTTTTTCAGTGTATTTTCTTTTAATGTTCTTAAAAATTTGCCGTGTCGTTTGATCAAAGAGATACTGGGCAAGCTTGCCTATTAATGATTTGGTCCAATACATAAGCCATCTAACCTTTATGTTTTAAGGTAATGATTATATTTATGCAGAAAACTAAAATACTTGTGACAGTGCGATTATTTCAAGTCGACCTTTTTAGGTTATCATGCAGCAACATGACCAATCAAAGTTTGGTCCAGTTAACGCTTGTTGGTTGGTGGTTTTTTTAAAAGTTTATTTGTCCAATTAACTTCTTTATCTTCTCAATGTTTCCTTTCCATCTTTCCTTTCCATCTTTCCTCATGTTTTTCACTATTATCACCTTTGTTCTATATACCTTTCGGCTGATATTATTCTTTATTTTTCTCCTTCTTTCAACATCTCTTTTCCAATTTTCATTATATATTTCTTTATTTTCTCCTAATTTTATCTTCTTTAGCCATCTTTCCTTATGCCCTTCTTTATTTTCTCCGTCTTTCTAATTTTCATCTTTCCTTATGTATTCCTCTATTTTCACCTTGTTTTATTCTCTCTATCTTTTCTCATGTATTTCTTTATTTCTAACCTTCATTATCTTCTGTTTCCATCTTTCCCTGTGTATTTCTTTTTAAACCTTCTTTTATCTTCCTTTTCCATCTTTCCTTATGTTATTCTTTATTTTCTCCTAATTTTATCTTTTTTATCTTTCCTTATGTATTCCTCTATTTTCACCTTGTTTTATTCTCTCTATCTTTTCTCATGTATTTCTATTTTTTCTAACCTTCTTTATCTTCTGTTTCCATCTTTCCTTATGTATTTCTTTTTAAACTTTTTATCTTCCTTTTCCATCTTTCCTTATGCTATTCTTTATTTTCTCTTCCTTCTTTCCCTCCATTTTCATCTTTCCTTATTATCACCCTTCTTTCCCTATTTTATCCTCCCTTTATATTTTCCTTCTGCATTTTTCCATTGCCGAGCACATCAATGTTCTCTTCTATAGGTAAAAGAAACTTAAATAGCTAGTACTTGCTAAAAAAAAACAATATGAAGTGAGACTTTAGACACACTGAATCCAGGCCTATTATAAATATAGATGTAGGGTCTGCGATGAGAAGACTATGAATCTGGACTGGATATCAGATACCAGCTGGTAATCCCTTTATCAGTAACTAGGCTATGATTGACCACTGTCTCTCTCCCCATGGACCCTACTGGTAATCCCTTTATCAGTGGTCAGTGCTCCTATCAGATTATGGTAGCACCAGGAAAAGTGGTGAACTGGTGAGCAGAGCTCAAATGAGATGTTTTCCTAATGAAAGAAAAAAACCCACTAATATTATAGTAAGTAATTATCAGGATAGGTGAATTATGGAATATAATTTGAAGGATGACAATATTATTCGGGTTATTAGATGTAATTTCTGCAGCGACTTACAGGCTAATCTACAGTGCGTCCCAGAAAAAAAAAAAAAGAAACCCGAAAAAACGATTATTGTGAGCAAACTATGAACTGTACCAAAATAACTAGAAGTAATATACTTTTAGATAATAAATAAACATTTGGTTGCATTTACATGTATAAAGCATGTACTCTTTACCGAGCAATATGGTTTTTGAAAATGGCATGTCATAATCATTTTGTGCCAGATGATGGTACTTCAGGGAAAACGTTAGTATCACATGAGAATATGCCGTAAAGGAAATGATAATACAAGATTTCCATTGTCTGATGATGTGCATTTGAAAAGGCTGTTAGAAAAAAAAGGAAAAGTAAATAGGGGTGAAAACCCATTTCCGGGATGCCAGGGGTATATCTTTAGATATTCCCCAAATCAATGATTATCCCTCAAGCAATGAAAAGTGCCCCTTTTTCGAATGAAAGGAGTCCCCATTATGAGAGGAAAAAATTGCACATTCTTATTTCTTATAATTATACAATACCTTTCCCATTTTATCAAGATGTAAGATGCCCCTTACTTTAAATTCTTATAAAAAAAATATCACCCGATTTTCCTCTTTGTATTTAAAAAAGTTGCAGTGCTGTAAAATATAAAAATGAAACAAATGCAGACCTATTTCAGTACGAAATGTGACTTTTTTTATATTCAACATCGGCAGTATCTCCCCTATCTTTCATTTTTTGATTGCTATATTACTCTTGTTATTGTTATTGAAAGAAACGCACATGAAAACAAATTATCACTGGGTTTTCAGTTGTTTTTCCATTACATGTAGGTCATGTTCAATAATGTTCGCTTTTGTGATCACAGATCACAACGTATTCATGGCTTTACCAAAATCTGGCCAAACTTGATTTAGAGGTTTTGACGTGCCATTTTCAAAAGAATGTTGCTCGACGAAGCATGTATGGATTAATTTTATCAACGTTTCACTTGAAAGCATATACTTTTACTTTATGAAAGGCAAGGAAACAAAAGTTATGCGGGTCATAATAACTTTTTTTTTTTAATTCTGGGAAAAGGTATATTAACATCTAACTTGGATCGACAGGGATGCCGTTTTGACGCTGATTTAGGAAATGTGATTGTTATCATGATTTATAACTATTCTATATTTAGTCCAATCTTAGTACCTTCTTGTACTACTAGTACTACTAGGACTAGGAGCGAATGGACCTTAATTACTAAAGGTAAGCTTCAGTCTCTGATATCGACGTTTGTTCTGCCGAGACTACGTCTGGCTCCTTTATAATACACTAAAACATTCCCCTTCCCCATATCAGCCACTTATTTCTGTCTATTTAAAGGCGCGAAGTATTGGGCGAATATAAATGAATATTTAACCAATAAAGGACTGTACAATACGACCTCAAATATTATAAATGGCAAATATGTCGACGCGTAATTTGATGCACAATCCAAAATAAACCAGACTTTCAGTTTCAATTTATTTTCTAAATTCTAGAGTAGGTTCTAAAGGAGGCAAATGGACCAGAAATACACGTTTGAAAACTTTGTTGCATTACAATCTGCTTAAATCTCTTTAGTTCCATGAACCCAAATGTGGCGGAATAGAGATGAAGCTAGGCCGGGGGGGGGGGGGGAGGGGGGGGGGGGTACTACTGCCAACATCCCTATTTCCAGACGGTTATATTTTAAACTTAGACCCTAGAAAATAGAACATAAGACATGTCACTTTGTCAGATTTAGATTTTTATTTCTGTCTCGTTGTCCAGACTAACGTAACGACCAAGTCCTAGGCCAGTAAGTTGACGAGACCCCCCCCCCCCCCCCCCCCTCTACAACCAGCCTCTACTGCCCTAGACTTCTAGTCTAGATCCGGCTCTATAAATAATAATCTAGGCCTTTTTACTTTCACTTTTTACTTTTAGTTAACTTGTCTGTGACTAGATCTAGACCGTATGGCTGTGCAACATCATATACCGAGCTGAGTAGTAGACTATATAGTAATAGTAGAGTCTAGACCTTTATTATTATTGTTTTACTATATAGGTCTAGTCTAGTACTGACTAGGCCTAGCCATAGCCTAGCCTGGCCTACCGATCTTCAGTCTAATTTAACGATACGATAGCGAAGCCCGATCTAACAAAAGTTAGATCAAAAAAGTAAACCAGTCTCTCTTTAGGGCCTACTCAGAATGGGTCCAAGTAGATCTAGATATTGGATATCTGGGTCTAGACTGTAAAATAGAAGAAGTTTTAAATTTAAATGTGTCAACTTACTTAGATTGATAATTCAAATCTAACCCTCCTCTTCTTTATATTAACTTGAACTTTGAATCAGTCATTGAATTTTGTACTTAGACCTAGTCTAGAATCTAGATTGAACTTACCGATGCCAGGTCCATTTTTGTTTGCAACATGCAGCATGTTCTCTTAAAATCTCATGCCTCATGGAGAATCTAATCAGAAGGGTAGAATTCTAGAGAAGAGTTAGTCTGAGATCCTTAAACAACTTAGCAGAACCCTTAATTGAAATTAAAAAAATGTTTTCCAATGTTTTTCAAAGATTGAATTCAGTTCGGTTCCTTGTCTCCTTCCATTTATCGTGCAAAAATACAACTGCGTAGGCCTACGCGTACGCGCGCGCGCGCAAACGTCAATTTAGTACGATCTAGATAGCTAGCTGCTATGCGCTTTTTTGTAACATGACGACAACGGGCGAAGAAAAAGTGGGCGTGACAAAAGTGGGCGCGACATAAGTGGGCGCGGTTTAAGTGGGCGTGACAGAAGTTAACTTGACACGTGTTTCTTTGTCTTAATTACGGACTTCCACAACAAGTCTCAATAGCAAGCAAATGAACACACAAACTTTTATTTCGACTTACTGGTTTCTGCAAATTCTTTTGAACACAGGCCAACATTTTCATGAGCATAATTCTTGGCCTTCAATTTCTCGAATATATATTGACGTACAAGGAAATATACAATATAAGCTATATATAAATTCTTAGCAGGGAACTTCGCGTGCCTGAATCGGGCCCTCTGCTATAACTATAAGAAAGATTAACTTTCTCGGACGTGTTAATGGCACTCTAATTTTGAAAGATTTCTGATATCAAGAGACACTTTATTGAGGGAGCCAGGCGCCTTTGAATGCTTTTGCAGATAAATGGCGCTATACAAATGCTGTTCATCATCATCATCATCACTTTGTCCTACCTGAGACGCTCTTTTCATACTTTTGCCTTTTCAAATGTTTATTACATCGATTACATCAGTAGTCCTAAAGTCTAAAGACCGATTGGAAATACCCAGATTGAAATGTTTATGATAATGATAAAGTGTTGAAATATTTTAAACACGTCCGATCATAATATACCAGTTCGCGGTGCACTGTACCAAATGACCCTGATTTATCCATAGATCTTCACAACATGAAGAGGTCCCACTTTGTACAATTTTAAATAATTACTCCTACAGCGATGGAGGTGCTACAATGAAATAGCCTTTGTTTCCCCTTTTCAAAGAACACTTCCACCTGTGTATCATGGAGTGCACGGCCGCTTGTGCATAAATGAATAATGATTACACAACATTTAATATGAGCACTTATTGGTCTGCAATGACCTTTATCGTCTCATGCTCAGACTGCAACTATGAACTGCCTTATTCATTAACCAATTATATTTCCACCTTTTCATATGGTAGCCAACTCAAAATGTTATGGTCTGATTATAGACAAACTTTCAAAACATTTGAACTATATTGGAACACCTTTAGGTCACATGGGTGGTGGGGTTGGGGAGGGGGTATATAAAGGCTTTAAAGAGCCACACATTTGGAAAAAAACTAAACTGACGAGTCTAAAATCAGGTTCATGCTGTGATGTAAATAAGTCAACAAGTCTGTCTAAAATATGAGTCGAATATTCTCCGCCTTGTTATTAGTAACTTGAATTCCAGTTCAGACAAATTCATTACATTGGCAGGTGCATAAGTACCCTTTCGATGATTAGAACAAAAACTGGTTGAGAATGTGCATCAAAGATTATATTTTTACTTCTTGAATTGGGCACATTAATTATTTTGATCGTAGCAGCCGACAAAATGTAAAACGTAAGCAGACTATATTGTTAACAGGTCATGCAAATTTATATGAACAAACTATGGTCATTTATACAAAAAAGGTTTATTCATAAAAAGAATAATATAAATGGTTGAGAAAAATCATAATTTATATGACTCAATCGCCTTGTGAATCTGTTCGTATACACTGCATGTTATATTTGATTGACTTGATTTGAACGAGGATGCGCTTTAGGGGGTACGACAATACGCGCAATTTGCCGCTCCCCTATCGGTGTAAAGGAGAACTTGTTGACGAGTATAAAAGCGACGAGCGACAGTGTCGCGGTGGCTTCGGTGAAGCCGAGACGTCAAGTTGGAAGCGTTCAGTTAAAAATCAGTTCTCTTGTTCTCTTCATTTTCGGGATCTTTCTTCTGGTTTATCTTTTGAATTTTGAAAATGGCTGCCAATTCTCAGATTGTGGTGAGCGTCTTTATCTAGATATCAAAGTTACGCTGTTTTTAATGTGTTAATCATGTCATGATTTATGATTTTAGTCTGAATTTGAATTGAATCAGAAAGCAATTCCATTTTTTCTTCTTATTTGTTGCATGTTAAAGGATTAGTATCTTTGAACAATTTATTGTAGGATGCGGGGTGTGCTTAAATATAACTCATTCCGTGAGTTAGGAATACGAGGGACTGTTAATTAAGTCTTAATTTTATTGAGAAATTCTAATTAGACCTATTCAGGGTTCATGATGTGCAATACTGTACAAATTGCATGTCATGTCATTTATTTTCATCGACTTCTTTTTCTCTCTCTCATCGCAATTACAGCACAAGTTGTACAAGAGTGTAATTGACGATGTGATAAACAACGTTCGAGAGGCATTTTTAGATGAAGGAGTCGAGGAACCGGTTTTGCAAGACTTAAAACAGGTAAGAATTTGCTGCCTATATCAGTGCCGCGATAAATTTGACACAGCTTTTTTTTCTTTTTCAATGAGCTCGAGCTCAACAGCTAACACTCGGTAACAATACGAATGTGTATGCACGAATACGTGTAGAGAGCGCACACAGTTGCACGAATAGCTAGGTAATGAAATGAGTCCTTCAGTGTTGCCACGTTTGAATGCTGAAATATCACATTTCAGATAATCCAAAAGAATTCTTTAATTGCTCGAAAGCGTCGCTACATCTGAATCTCCATATTGGTCCTATTTTGAGTCCGTAATATGTCACTAAACAGCCTTAATTAGCAGCTTATTTTAGAAGCTGTCGCGAACGATCATTCATTGTGCTGCGGCAGCGGTCTGGACGTGGACTGCCATCTTTCTCGGCGCGCTGCGACCTCTTGTTAGGGTACGATTTGCATATGCCCATGTATTTATACTGGAGCCTCATTTGACTACGGATCGCTTTGCAGCCAATGATATTCTTGTATTAGGTTGAGTGACCTCAGCTTGCTATACATATTCATAAGTTGGCAATCAGCCAGCCAATGATTATCCATATTTGTAAGCCAGCCACCCATATCCGTGTCCTGGCTCATGCATAAATTAGCTTATTGTTGCGTGTCTCTGAAAAGTCTGGTGTGTTCAGACTCTTTGAATTAAAATAGGTATGCTAAATGTATTATTTTCAAGATACTATTGAGCTAGTTTGCATGATATATCTGGAAAATTTTATATCCATTTAGAATTTTTATAAATGAATTTGTATGAATACTCGAAAATACTTATATTAAAATGGAAACAGACGAAATGGTTTAGAGAGAGAGTCTGCAAGTGTAAGCTAGTGTTGCAATTAAAGGAGAGACCTTATTTGTAATGCAGGAGTGTGAACGATTATACCCATCATAGACTTAAGTACTTATATTGCAAAGTTTCATTAGCACACCATATTGACTCTTCAAAAATGGGGACGTGATCTTTTCAATTGTTAAACTTTTCATATTTCTAATTTTATTTGTTATTCATGATTAAAAGGGAACACCACCCTAACAATGGATCATTTTTTTTTGGTTATTTTTGTTTTTTGTGATGTGTAAAGCATTACAAAAATGAAACGCCTACCTATGAAAGTTTTAGGTACCGGTAAATTTTATAAGATTTTTTTTTTAATGCAGTTATTTTTCAAAGTCAAACATAAATAGCCTACTGTGTTTTCCCATAATTCTACTTATTCAAATCTGAGAGATGCTCGTTTTACTTTGACAAGTGCCCCTCCCCCTCTTGATATATAGCTCTTTTCATCTCTGATGAGTGCCCCTTTCCACCTCTAATAACTGCCCCTTCCAATTTAAAGCGACTAAGAACAATTTCCACCAAAACTAGCTCGCATTTGTAGATGATATAATAATGTTACTTATTAAAGGTCTTTTCAGTCTTTCGTTATGACAATGTGCTTATTACCCCATCAGGATTGTGTTTTTTTCCTCTTTATAAGATGTAATTTTTCGCACTACGACTTCACAAATCGTAAAAATTGTCCTCGCTCGCTCACAAATGAATATTCTGACCATTACACCAAACTGCAAAGTAAGATGCTTAAGCATAAGCTTGTTTGATGTATAAAGATAAACAAATGTTGAACTCATCCCTGAAAATGTAATCACAGTGAAGAGGTATATACCGATGTCAAAAATATTGTATATTTTTGTATGAGGTTTCCGTTTGTAGGTACTGGTACCCTTTTTTTTACAGAAAGTGCACTTTTTTGTTGGGTGCCTCCTGCCCCCTCCCCTCCCCCGGGTGATAGATCTCAATATTTCTCCAAAGAACATGTTATGACTTACATGTGTCCTAGATTTGTTAACAGACTCACAAATTTTACACATCACATTGATGAAATCATTCTGTTTTTTTCATCAACAACTAAGAACAAGCACATTGTAATCCTCTGTACAAAACAATTTGAGAGCTAATTCTTGCTAGTAATGTCACCAACAAAAATCATTTCTTATTCTTTGTTAGGTTTTCCTCTATATTTTACTGATCTTTGTCTGTTTTTTGTATTGAAGACTGACCTGGTATTAAATCCCACACAAACTTCCTTTTTTGTGGGGGGGGGGGGGATGGGGGGTTCCCTACCAGACACCTAGGAAAGACATTTGTACTTGGGATGCTGATACTGAGATATTCTCAGCAGATTCTGTGAGAAGAATATAATGCTCATGAGCCACATTTATTGGGGTGTCTTCTCACTCCAAATTTCAAAAACCTCTGACAAAGGAATAAAGAAAAGGTCCTCATGTTTCAGGGATCTATTATTCACTTAAAAAAGGAGAAAATTAAATTAAAATGTTTGTCAGGGTGTGAGAGCTAGGGGCCAGTCACAACCCCTAGAACCTTTGGTGGGCCTGTGAGAGGGAGGACTTCCCCTAAATGAACCAAGTTGAAGCTCCAGAGTGGCAACAAGGTGCTGAATGACATGGTTTCCAATTAAGTGAAGGCAGACAATATAGTAAAAAAATAAATGTTTGTGAAAAAGAGGGAACTCTTATCATTTTTTTTTATGATAAAAAAATGTTGAAGATTTTCAAATTTATTGAAATCTCAATTTTTTGTTATTTTTTGTTTGGGATGACTTATCCACATCCATTATATAGTTTATACAGTGATCCAATATATCTTTCTTCTCAAATTGTAGGATTAGACACTAATGAATAGGCCATTTTCGTAATGTAATAACATTTATGCATATGCCTTCATGGAGGACCATGCTACATCTATCTCAATAGTCTGAATTCCAATTTTATACCGTACATTAATTGTTACTAGCTAGGACAAATATGGCTTGTGCCCTACCAAACAACACAGAATGTATGCAATTTGCATTCTGAATGTTGGAAGTACCATTATTTGTAACAGATAAATGAAATAATTTTAAATGTTTTTACAAGGCACTTAAGTATAATTTAATTACATTATGAAAATGGCCTATTTAGGAAGATGCTCAAGAATACAAGACAGTTTATCCCTTTAATGACAAAAATAATTGAATGTTTCTTTGTATTTTATGTTCAAAATAAATTCTTAGTTGTTTCTATTTACACCATACTGCTCACTGCATTGATTTTCAAAGATTATTTTTTTCTTTGTACTAATAGGCATGTACATGTAGAAACACCTGCCTTTCCCCCCTCAAAATCAATGCAATCGACCTGACTAATGTATTTCAATGTTTGCATGTTTCTCTCCCTAACTCCTGGGCCTGTTTCACAAAGCCTTTTTTCAATGACAAATGACAAAAATCAGTGACAAATCTGCTGATAACTAATCAGAAACAAGGATATCAGTAGCTTATAACAAAAAATGTCATTTGTTACTGATGACAAGTTTTGTGAACCCCCCCCCCCCCCCCCCCCCCCCCCCCCGGTTACCAGTCATTTCAATCACCTGCTATGAATAATGGTATGTTCACTCATCCAGACACAGAGCAGTGTTTTTATGAATGGACATGGACTTCACAATGAGGTCAATCAACCTGATAATCATTGTTTGTATTGTGTCTGTAGTGGAAGGAATGTCTGAGCTGAAGTCATTGACCAGCCCTCATGTATTGAAGTGCTATAGAGCTCTATTTATGGAATGCACAGCTCAAGTTGAAACCCTCCAGGTTTTTTTTCCAATCAAGTTGTACGTTATGCAAACACAATATCAACTTTCGTTGTGGTGTTGGTAATGTAAGAGAGATGCTACATCTATCTTCACCGCATTAAACTTTGATTGGTTTGGATGCGACATTCATTTTACCTGGGACTTCCACGCTTATCATGATCTTGGTACTGTACCCATATCTTCTGTGCTTCTTGATGGGTTTGCAGACTACACAGCAATACTTATATAACTGCTATCTCCCCAACTCCATGCAAACTTTTTATTGTTTGTGATTTCAACATTCACTGAGATAGGTCTACCAATTCAGAGACATGAACTTTAAAGGTATTTTTAAATCCTTTGGTTTGACTCGGGATGTTACAAGGTCGCCTAGGTCGGACTCGTATCAATGGTCATACAGATGTATCTGTTTGATTATGTGATTGAATACAGCTACATGTATGCAATTTGCATTGTATTGAAAAATAATTATTGGTGAATGTAAAATCTTGTTGCTTGGTAGATTTGAATACATCTTTTTGCTTATATTTGGCGATTGCACATTTGGCAGATATCATTTATTGGTAGTTTTGAACGCCATTTGCTAATGTGAATTTTTTAGCTACATGTATCTGTATTTTTACTGATAGTGAAATACAATTGTACCAATTAAAAACAAAAAATAGTGTGTAAATAATTTTTGGTGATATTGATCCATGAAAAATTTGTTATAAAATGACATTTCTGAAGGCAATGTGCTATTTAGTGGTTCTCTCTAAAGTCTAAACCTTTTCTACAATTTTTCATTTTGCATTATGAACGCATCTTTTGGAGCTATTATTTTTTGCTAAGCTTCATTGAAAATACTTAATGATTACTGGTCATGTATGTGATTACCCTGGGCTGGATATGAACCTAACCTAACCTATATCTTACCGACTGAATAAGACAACTCGTATCCTGGTGTAAATTTATTAACTCTGATTAATCAGAACTCATCACGATTTCCTTTAATTTCAATATTCTTGCAGATATGGGAGAGCAAGCTCATCCAGTCGAGAGCTATAGACCTCGCCCAAAAACCACCTCAACAGGCTGCTGGCAAGTACAAAGGTCAAGATACTTCAAGGTCATATCACAATGCCCAATCTTCATCTGACAGACAACAGATGGAACATCAAAGTGAGTTGCGCAAAGTTTTGTAATTAAAATAGAATAAAAAAATTAAAACAGGTAAGGATCAGTTTTGGAAATGCCCCCCTCTCAACAAATGAAATAGAAGCTCTTACCGGTAATACCAATCATGTGAAAGAATATGTTTTTGACTGATCAACAAATGTTCTCTACTACCTGGTCTTGGTGATCATGACATTGTTGGTGTTGATTCAGATGTAACAGCGAAAAGGAGTAAGCCGGTGAAAAGAAAAATCTACCTATGGAAGAAAGCCAATCTGCTGGGAATGAAACAGGACTGCCGTCAGTTTCAGCAAGAGTTCGTGCACAAATATACTGAACAGAGCTCAGTTCATGAGATGTGGAACTGTTTCAAGATCAGCCTGCTAAACATGATGGACAGCCATGTACCAGCGAAAATGACATCCACTCGCTTTAGTCAGCCATGGGTCACAAGGTCGGTGAAACGGTCATCAAGGAGGAAAAAGCGGGCCTTCAATCATGCCTTAGCGACTGACAGACAGGAGGATTTCAACAGATACCGGGAGATCAAGAAATCAACTCAAGCAGCCTGCAAACAAGCTTACAGTGAATACATCAACAACATCATCAGCCCTGACTCCAAGGCAAACCCCAAGCGATTCTGGAGTTTCATCAACAGTAAGAGGAACGACCGTACTGGAGTAGCCCCACTGAAAGACACCAATGGGATTACACAATCAGGCAGCAAGGAGAAGGCCAACATGCTGAATCACCAGTTTGCATCAGTGTTTAACAGGAATGAGGACATGTCAACCATGAAGGATAAAGGACCAAGTCCATTTCCAGACATGGATGACATCCAGATCTCGCCAGCTGGTGTCTACAAACTGCTTTCGTCTCTCCAGGTACATAAAGCTACTGGACCAGACAAACTGCCTGCACAACTACTGAAGACGCTGTCATTGGAAATAACTCCAGTGTTGACTATGCTTTTCCAAGCTTCGCTGAATCAAGGAGACGTCCCAGAGGACTGGAAGAAGGCAGACGTAGTTCCCATCTTTAAGAAGGGAGAGCGGTGCCAAGCAGTCAACTACAGGCCAGTGTCACTGACATCTATTATCTGCAAGACACTGGAACACATCGTATGTAGCAGTATCCTTGAGCACCTTGATGACTTTAACATTCTGTCAGATGCTCAACATGGATTCCGGAAGAGACGGTCTTGCACATCCCAACTTCTCCTCACTATTCAAGATCTTTCCAGTGGAATTGACTCGAGAGACCAGATAGATGTAATCCTGTTGGACCTATCAAAGGCTTTTGATAAGGTTCCGCATGGAAGACTCCTACATAAGATCCACTACTATGGAATCCGAGGTAGTACCCATAACTGGGTTGAGGAATTCCTTGCAAGACGCTCACAGAGGGTATTGCTTGATGGATGCACTTCTCACACCTCTCCCGTCCTGTCGGGCGTTCCCCAAGGCAGTGTAGTCGGGCCTCTTCTCTTCCTGCTGTTCATCAATGATCTTCCTGACTGCATATCAGCGAAGTCTACAGTGAAATTGTTTGCAGATGACTGCATATTGTACAGGAAGGTGTCAAGTGCAGATGATGCTGAATGCCTGCAGAAGGACTTAGATGCACTCCAGGAATGGGAAGCAGACTGGCTAATGCAATTCCACCCTCAAAAATGCCAGGTTATGCATGTCTCTAGTAAAAGGCAGACATCCAAAGCCTCCTTTCCTTACTTCATCCATGGAGAGCAGCTACATGTAACAGAAACTGCAAAGTACTTGGGGGTCCACATCCAGAGCAACCTGAAATGGAATCACCATGTAAACGTCACCACCAAAAAAGCCAACTCTGTACGGTGCTTTCTGCAAAGAAACATGGGGGCCTGCCCACAGAAGACCAAGGAGTTGCTGTGCAAGACATTAGTACGCCCTGTGATGGAGTATGCTGCAATAGTGTGGGACCCGTCCACCCAGGAGAACATCAGAAAGGTGGAAATGGTGCAACGCCGTTGTGCACGCTTCGTCCTGGGTGACTATCGGCGCAGAAGCAGCGTCTCAGCCATGCTGAATCAACTTAAATGGGTAAGTCTGCAGGAAAGAAGGGCTCAGCAGAAAGTAGGCATGGTTTACAGCATACTCCATGGCCTGGTTGATCTTCCAGTCACCTACTTCATACCCGTTGTTGGTCCCAGCACCCGTGGAAATCCACAGAAATTCCATGTCCCCTTTGCCCAAACTATGCTATTCCAAACCACATTCTACCCAGATACTATCCGACTGTGGAACTCCTTACCATCTGCTGTCGTCGATTGCACCTCTTTGGAACTTTTCAAGCAGAAGGTGCAACACATCAAGCTCCGTTGAGCTTCAGACTGTTTTTTAGCTGCACATAGAATTCTTGTAGAACCTTTTTACTTGCACTGTACACTCGGCACTTGACAAACACAAGGTACGATAATACGCCAACGGCGGACTGTACTATACTGGAAGAAGAAGAAGATATACGTGATGATAGAAATTTTGCCGGGAAACCGCCAACTAATTGATATATTTGGTAAATTATATCTATTTGGACCTGATAGATATCCCGCACGTGTCGCGCACGTGTCACGTAGTTCCATATACATCTTTCTGTGTATAGTGCTTGTAACTTTACTAAGACTAGGCCAAATTTCTTATCATTTTTGATTCCAGAACCTTGCCGTACACACCAATACTTATATGCTAGATGATCAACCTTTTCTGATCGATTCCACAACGATTCTCTCACAATGCAATGGCATGCCCAGAACTGGTCTTTATCTTTAAACTATGAGTGTTCTAATTCAAGGGTAAATGCTGAATCATAGGCATATTAGAAAGGGGAGGGGGGCAGGCAGGCTGGCTGTAGGGATTTGAAATTAATTACCTTAGTATTTGCAACTGTCGACTTATGTGAAGGCAGTGAGGTGCCCTTATATCTCTTATATTTCATCCTGTTTACCTTGAGCAGAAAATAATATTTTTTAACTTTGATGAAATGTCAGATAAAAAAAAAAAAAAATGGGGAATTGTTGTTATTACCAATATTTGGGCGACTGGCATTACCTCTTTTTTTTGGAATTAAAAAAAACAAAACATTTTACATTTCTTAAATATATTACGTTTATGAACCAAAGAGTAGCTAATTGGGGGAAAAATATACATACCATTATACACCTATGTTCTGAATGAGGTGATTTCAGATAAATTGTATTTAGCAACTGGTATGATACAGATTTTAATACTGTCAAAAACTGTGGAAAGGTCAAGATGTATCTCTAGGCAATTATGGAATATATTGCAGTACTATTGTGAGCAGGTGCATTGACTACATGGTAATAGTGTCCCACATGGCCATTTGCCACAGTGTCCTCAGGTTGGGGTAGTAGTATTAGTGTTTGGATGTTGTGGGGAGGGGTGTACAAAAGCACTTTATGACAAAGCGTTCACTCATGATAATGTTTGCTTGAAACAACTGTATCCCTTTAAATTTTTCACCAGGAACTCAACCACAAATGGTTCTTCAGGGTGCCACTTCATCACAATCATCTGTTTCTAACAACTTGGTAAGATTATACATTAATAATTCACCTTTCATATCAAAATAAATATATGTGTACAGCTAGAATGTATAAATCATCCTATTAAAGACCGTCAATACTACTGGGCCAGAAGAGATTAGACCACACAGCGAGGTCACTGACAGGTGGCTATCTCATTAACTCAGCTCTCAACTAACATAAGAAAAAGAGGATCATGGGGGACCAACAGGCACTGAATTGGGAAGTTTTCTTTATAGAGGGAGCAAGTAGCTACAAGTAGGACAGTTGGGCTTTAAAACAATTTACCTGCCATTCTTGGTTTTATGGGTAAGGAGTGTTGAAGAAAATAAAAATGACATAAAACCCTTACACTTATATGAGCTCACAAAGAATAGAGTCCGACTTGGGTTCCTTGAGGGCCCTATAAAATGCAAGGGCATATGGGTGTGTCAAGTTGCTTTCATGTTTAAGGGCAATCCAACGCTTGTAATAAGGACTTTAAAAAATGCATAACTCATTCTTTTTGTCCGATTTCAATTTAGTTGGCGTGAGGGTCGGCCTAGCTAACATGTCTATTGTTTAGACGATCATTACGCCGACCTTTACGCCGCCCTTACCATATTTACGCTGACCAGCTCTAAACACAACCTTTACGCCAACCAAAATTGCCATCGTGTGAACACTGCTATAATACTAATGTATCTCAAATATGTGCATGTTTCTCTTCAGAACCCCCTGTTCCTATGTAATTCACCTACTAGGCATTTCTATAGATGGAATCCTCTTTGTATACAATATTTGTTGCTATGTCTGGCAAACCTGGGAACAATAAAACTTTTGTTCATGAAGCATGCATAACATTAGAAAAAGGGTGTATTCAGTGACTGCAATTAGAATGTATTTCCAGCTGTTCATCTATTTTTTGCATAATTTACATAATTTAATCATAATTTACAGAGTTCATCTGCTGTGGCGGCTACTGCAGCACTCCAGCAGAACATGCTCCATTTGCAATCACAACGACAGCAGATCCAGAATGTACCATTTACCATCCAACAGCAAGGAGCTGGTGAGTCTAATAATAATAATAATAGGCATTTCTATAGCTCTGTCTATCTAGAAATCCTATAGGCCTTAGCTTAGCTACCATTACAGCGCTCCAGCATTTCAAGGAATTAATTCCTGCCAGGTACCCATTTACCTCAACTGGGTCGAGTGTGGCAAATGAAGATTAATGACTTTCCAAAGGACATTGGTGCCGTTTCTAAGATCGAACCACAACCTTTGAATTTCAAGTCAAGTGCTTAAACCACTCGACTACGACACTTCTACACTTGTACACAAGAGTTTGCCCATCTTGGTTGTACTTGATCACAACATGGCTTATTCTTTTGTTTTGTGCTTGCCAAACAAAGCAGTATTTGCTGTATTGTGCCCAATTAGAACCGGGTTGGTTAAATCTCCTCCAAATCAATGGTTGTGATAGTAATACTGTAAGTGTGTGCTGCCACCCATGGTTACCAGGTTATTTTACCTGGTACCCAGTCAGGCGCGCAGAAAGCAGTTTGGGATTGGGGGGGGGGGGCAAATATTCCAGGGGGCTCACCTTCCAAGGGCAATGACGTAATGAGAAAAAACGTTCAGAAGGGGGGGGGGGGGGAGACGAAAAATCTGCATCACCACCAGTCTTACACGTTACATGCAGGTCACGCGGAACGTTTTTCAAAGTGGAGTATTAACGGTCAGGTAGAGCGTAAATTGGCGTGGGGTCCAGGGCATATGAGCCTCGGCAGGGGGTCAATTTAACTACTACATTTAACTACGGTCAGATGAGCATCCAGGGGCCGCCCTAGGGCCCTTGGTGGGGTCCAGGGGGCAGAGCCCCCAGAAGCTCAGGGGTTTTAGGTATTTACTTATGGTGAGATGAGCATCCAGGGGCCTGCCTAATAGGGCCCTTGGTGGGGTCCAGGGGGCAGAGCCCCCGGAAGCTCAGGGGTTTTAGGTATTTAATTACGGTCAGATGAGCATCCAGGGGCCCGCCTTACGGCCCTTGGTGGGGTCCAGCGGGCATAACCCCCGGAAGCTCGGGTTTTTTAGGTATTTAATTACGGTCAGATGAGCATTTTTTATACCTTATTTGTGACATTGGCAGGTCACTTTTTTTTTTCTCTCCGTCTTTCTTTCTTTTTCTCTTTAACATACTTTTTCAAAAAGTGAGGGGGGGGGGGGGGGGCTTGAGCCCAGCCACTTTGCAGACCATGACATAAAGGCTTCTAAATAAGCGTATTTTTCGCCCGACTGTAATCTGAGAATTTCTTATTTTCCAACAAACGCATAAACAGGTATGACTTACAAAAAAATGGAGAAAAATACCGGGAAATCATGTCATAACAGCAACATTTGTAAATCACTGGTATCGAATAAGAAATACCCCCCCCCCCCCCATCAGTACGCCAGCGTTCAGGAGCTCATGTCTTCTCACCCCTATAACAAAACAAATAAACAGTCACGCTTTCCCATTCTCGCACAATATGTCCACGATATGCGCGTATCGCTATTATAAGCCGTATAGGTGGCATGCGCAATGCTTATGAAATTTAATTCCTGTGAACTTTCCTTTTCTTTGAATGGAATGGTATATGTGATTTAATTCAGGTTTTTATTATTGTTATGTTCTTTTGGTTAAAAATACAAACCATGTTTATTCCTTAACTGCTTTTTTTTTTTTTTTTTGGAGGGGGGGGGCGTTTTGGGGGGGCAAAAATGCATTTTACCCCCCCCCCCCCCACTTTTTTGAGTGGGGGATGGGGGGGGGGGCAAGGTCTGGAATGCCCCTCCCCTTCCTTTAAAACCAAATGTGCAAAAAAATGTGCCCTCCCCCTTCAAATTTCCAATCCAAAATGCATGTGAAAACTGTGCCTTCCCGCTTTTGATGAATTCTGGATATGCCCAAGCTGGTATCAAACCACAAAATATTGAGGTTATTGCAGGCAGTGAGGAGCAGTGTAATTAATATGATTTGACCTTGCTTTTCTGTTGAAAAACATGTTTACGGGAAACAGCTGGGAAAGTGTTGTAGCAAACCTGCCATAACTTTGGCATATGACATTGAATCTGAATGATCTTTACATTTTTGAAATGTGGAATAATCAGATTAGCTATATTACAATTCCTTTTTTGATAACGAAGGGAAATTGGGGACAAAAAAAACAAGAAACTTTGTATGAAAAAGAAAAATAAAAGTCTGAAATATAGCATAAAATCAAAAGGAAAATTCCTGTGAAATATCATTTTTATAAACCCCTGCGTCTGGATATGTCTGGAAAAAATCCACCGGAATGCGTTTTTATACTTTTGATACGAGCACCGATCTACCGAGTGATGACGTCATGCTCAATAGTACAATCCCACATAAGCTAGTTTTTGTTGGAGCTGATCGGTATGCCTTGGGGCATAGATTGTAATGTTTGCAATGTTTGAATTAACCTCTAATTTTCTCCAAAACTTATAACAAATGTATATTACGGAAATAAAACTGAATTACACTGATTATCAACCTCATTGCTTTACTGTAAATAAGACAGAATACTGGTAACATGGCACTAAACATGTAAATTCTTGTGAATATCATCTGCAGCAGTACCATGTAGTGCTACAGCGAGCTCATGCCTCTGTGTGTGTCCATGCCAAGCTTGGCTTGTTTACGTAATTTTGTGTCAATGCGCATGCGTGAGTCTGTGAACTGGCAATGACGTCACTTTTCTCGTACACTGCTCCTAGAAGGTTTTCAATTTCTGAAAAATAACCCATTCATTTTCCATTGTATCTCCAAAAGTAAGTCATGATAAAAAAAAATACAATTTTTCATACGTCCTTCGATATGACCATTTTACATTATTCCATTTCTCTCCTACATATGGGCTTGCAAAAGTAGATTAATGTTGTGCCAAAGGACATTAGAGCTGTGTCAGAGATCAGATGAACAGACTTTGCAATTCCAGTCTAATGTTTATACCCCTTGACTACAGCACCTCTACATGATGAATTTAATCTAACTTTTAGTTTTGTATGGAAACAATCTTCCCCCAGATAATTTTGTTTGAGCAAATCAGAATTGACAGTGAAACATAATTTATCCGCTCCCCCCCCCCCCCCACCCAAGGATAATAATTATGTTATACCTGAAAATGCAACCATTCCAGCATATCACCTCTTTCTCTAAATACAAAATCTTAATTTTTCAATTTATTTCCAGCTGGCGGTGCAACACAAACATTCCCAGCATACCAAATCCAGACCCAGCAGCAACAAGGTGGCGTGGTTGGGTACCCACCCATCATCATCCAACCAGGTGCTCAGTCCAATGCCCAGCAATCACGCATCATGACAACACCCCAGGGTGTGGTGCTACCCCAAGGGACAATACGAGTGCAATCCAGCGGAGATCAGGTCAGTCATTATTTCTTCCCTCCATTAACCCCTACTTCTTTCCTGTTTTATATAGGGTTTCTCTTTTAAAAGAAAACCTTGCCTGAAAAAAAGATTCCTTGTTTACAGTATGAAGGCGCCTTTGTGAGTTCTAACAACTTGTCTTCTCCTCTTGAACATGGCACCTTGGTGAGTTAAGCAAGTCCAAGTAAATAAGATTCCATATATGAATGTAGAGACATATCATCACAGGCGTAGCAGAAGAAAAAAAAAAAGCATCACCATCTCTCTTACATGCAGGCCTCACTGAACGTTTTTCAAAGTGGGTTGGGGAGGCTACAGTATTTACGATTAGGTAGAGTGTAGCATAAATTGGCATGAGGTCAAGAGGCGAAGCCCCCGGAAGCAGGGGGTAAGGGCATTTAATTACGGTCAGACGAGCATATTTTGATACCTCATGACTCTGGCAGGTCACTAATTGGTGTTGGACCAGGTGAATGAGTCCCATGGATATGAGGAATTCTATAATGGTAAGATGAGCATTCAGGGGCCCACCTTAGGGCCTCTGGTGGGGTCGATGGGGCAGAGCCCTGGAAGCTCAGGGGCTTTAGGCAATTAGTTACCGTCAGATGAGCATATTTTGTTACCTTATTTGTGACACTGTCAGGACACTAATTGGCATGTGATTCAGGGGGCGGAGCTCCCAGAAGCTCTGAGGTTTTAGGCATTTTATTACCGTCACATGAGCATCTAAGGGGCAGAGCCCCCGGAATCTCAGGGGTTTTAGGCATTTAATTACTGTCAGATAAGCATATTTTGATACCTTATTTTTTACACTGGCAAGTCACTAATTGGTTTGGAGTCCAGGGGGCGGCTCTGGGTTTTAGGCATTAAATTACGGTCAGATGAGCATCCAGGGGCTGAGCCCCCCGAAGCCCAGGGGTTTTAGGCGTTTAATTATGGTTTGATGAGCATATATTGAAACCTTATTTTTGGCACTGGCAGGACACTAATTGGTGTGGGGTCCAGCATGTAGGCTTCTAAATAAGCATATTTCTTACCTGACCGTAAATTTCGGAATTTGTCATTTTCCAACATAATGCATAAAAAAAGTATAATTTACTAAAAAGTGGGAACAAATCCAGGGAAATTATGTTATTTCAGCAACATTTGTTAATCACTAGTATCGAATTAGAATTTTTTTGGTTTTTTGGGGGGGTGGGCAACTGCCCCCAAGCCCCCCCCCCCCATCTGTACGTCAGTGTGTGTGGGTGGTGGCGCACACATGTAGTTGTCTGGGGGGGGGGGGGGTGGATATACAATTCCTACACGAAGCATGAGGTACTGCATTCACTGCCCCCCCCCCTCCCCCTGTCTACGCCTTAGGACATAGCGCCAGTAAACCTTGTTTGGCTATTAAAGTGGTATGAAAACAAATTTTAATTCACCAATAGCACTAACAGTTATGCCTTTTGCATATATCCTTTCTGCCTCAACATTTTAATACTTGAGCTAGAGACCGTTATTTTGTGCAGGTATATATCTTTAATTATGATAATGATATAGATGATTTAGGAGTTCAATTACCGTAGCACTTACACAATTATAGAATATGAAGAGAAACATGGAATACAAAGACCCGTAAAATGGGTTAATCACATAATGTTACTGAGGGAACAAGTTTGCTTTAATAAATCTTTTGAAAGAGGTGAGACAGGTTGATTCTCTGATGGAAAGTGAGACGGCTATCGTAGAATGTATAATTTGGGCATAATTAGTCTATATTTGCCAGTTGTTGAGCATGTCATTAAGATGTCCAGGTGCCTTATAAATTAAAATTTTGAAGACGTACAAGCAAGCAGATCTTAAAGAATGATGCATTTCATCCCCATTTGGCTTTCATTCACTAGTTAAATGGTTTTATTTCCTGCGAAGGCATTTTCTTGTGCTTTTATGGTAGTTGACCATAGTGTGACCAAAATTTTATTGGGTTTGAGCCATTGAGTCACATCGCTTCCTACTTCCCCCTGTAATTTGTTTTCTTAAAATGGGATTATCAAATTACATGTATGTGAGGGCTAGAAAATTGATAGCTTTGTAGATCAGGATGATGAGATGTTATTTTGAGTACTTGCTAAGTTTCAGATTACTGTATCTTTAATTGTATATCTAGCATTGAAGTCACTACTCTAGCACCATTTTCCATCATCTGAACAATGTTACCAAGTCCCTTTAAGATTCTTCTTGATAGTTGAAATTTCAGAAATCTTGTTTAAAACAGAAATCATCTGGCATTAGATTTAGATGGATTACAAATTTTGTTAGAAATCAGAGTAAAAGAAAAATATGTGTTCTGTGTGTATCGTGGTGGATATTAGATGCATTGGGTAAAGCTTGTTTCAGTTTTCCTAGCATATAACAACAGCCATTGTTTGCAAGAAACAGTTGCTTAATGTAGAGATGGTTAATCCATGCTTTTCATGTTATGTTATGTTACCTCTTGTAAAAGTGTCATTATAATGTCAGTATGCTTCAGATACACATGGCAAAGAATGAATTCAACCTTCTACAACAACCAGGCTCATTCTCCAGTATTCTGTTGAGAGCAATCCAACACCTTTCATTTCCCAAAGGGTTTGTTGGATCGTGTTTGTGATACTTCCCAAGAGACGGACAGATAATAGATTTCAATTTTTGATAAAGTTCAGAGTATACTGTATGTATATAATATCATCAGTACAAAGTGAAAATCGAATTTGTCGAGACAAATTACTCTGCTTTTGCATCATCAGGCAATGTCTGCGTTGATGTCGGCGATTGCTCTTAAGGGGTTGTGATGTGTGTTTAAAAATTTTTCTTTTAAATACTTGCTAAAATCTCCTTGATTTCTCTATGTAGAAATGATATATTAAAACAAGATTTCTTTTCCCATTTTCTTTCCAACAGCCGTCAATAGTGCAAGTAGATGGTGCTAACGATTCATCAGATGACGATGACGATGAATTTGATGATGACGACGATGATGACAAGGATGACGACGACGATGATGATGACAAAGAAAATGATGATGCTGCTGGTGAAGATGAGGAGGTAAAGTAAATTGCGTTGGCACTTATGATCTGTTGCATATTTATATGTCATGTGTAGGGACTCTGTTGAATTCTTGCATCTCTCCAAAAAATGAGGGAAAATTGTCACTGAATATCTTCAGCTTCAAAGGAAATCTTGCCTATTCATCTACAAGATTCCCCACCAAAGTGTATGGGAGAGGTATAAAGCAAGAATAGTGAACAATTTTTCAGCACGACGCGGGTTTCACCACTTCTTTTTGAAGCCATTTATCAAATTTATGGATTTGTCAACTGCTATATTTTAGTATTTGTATTATGTAAATATTGTAATGGGTTACGATTGTTCCTCTGTTATATATTTTTCACCAATTCTTTTTCCCTCACTGATAAGTAAAGGTTTTGTTATTGAATTCAAAATTCTAAAGCTTGGTGCATGATACATGTACAAGTTTGCCTGGTACGTCACATTATCAAGATAATGGCTGCGGCCATGTCATGCTAAAAGGCATTATTTTGCCCTTCTGCCACCCGGCCGACGATATTGGTAAATTGAAAAGAGATATGTCTTTCATCTGTTTTATTTCTCAGGACCCTCTCAACTCGGCTGACGACGTTAGTGACGAGGATCCAGCTGATCTCTTTGAATCAGAAAATGTTGTAGTATGTCAGTATGATAAGGTAAGAAATGGAAAGATCTGATAATAGCTAATGTAAGGACATGCATGGACAATTTTCAGGACAACTGCCACTTGACTAGCAGGTTCCTGTTAGTATGGGTGTTTTATGAACTAAAAGCTTCATGATCTATTAAAAGTTGTTCAGACAAAAATGGAAATTTACACTATCATCACTTGTGAGTGGGGAAGGTTTACAAGAATCAAAAGAAAGAACAAATGAAGAAAAATTGAAGGAAAAGAGTGCATGTAGGCACCCATACCATCAAGAGAAAGAAAAAACAAAGGTGGGCAGGGTGGGGGGGGGGGTACCTCTCCCCTTCTTGGTTTGCCTAAGTCGGAAACTGATGGACTGTTGAAAAATGTGGACACCACATGATGTTTATCCCAAATTTCTCCCTACTCCTAGATTTTAAATAAGTCAAAGCAAGGTTATGTAGGAAAAAAGATCCCTTCAAATTTGATTGTGGCAATCAAATTATTAGTTATAAGTTTGCAATTAAAGTCATTCCATATATTACAGAAAAAACTGAATTTACAGATGTGCAGTTGTAAAAATCCTAAATCTATGTATTTTCATGATCAATACTAGTGAATGGAATATTTATTCATTTGAAAAATAATGAAACAGTAAAATCTCATACCTCTAAAAGGACAATTGTTGTTTACCATTAAACTATTACCTTTTTTAAAACTACTTTTCTTTTCTGACTATTATTCCTTGCAGTTCCCTCTTTCTATTATCTCATTTATCTATGTTCTTCTTTTTTCTGTCCCTGGCTCCTTTCTTTTCTCACTCCCTCTCTCTTTCTCTCTCTCCCTCCTATTCTCTCTCTCTCTCTCTCTCTCTCTCTCCCTCTTTGGCCATCATGTCTGTTTTTTTCACCAGTTCCAATAATAGTCAAATGAGTTGAACATACATGTAGATAATTTTCGATTTCAACTATTATTCCTTGCAGCTCCCTCTTTCTATTATTTCTACACTTTTATCTCTGTTCTTCTTTTTTCTGTCCCTGGCTGGCTGGCTCCTTTCTTTTCTCACTCCTCTCTTTCTCTTTATCTTTCTTTCTCTATCTATCTTTCTCTCTCCTGTTCTCATCCTATTTCTCTCTCTCTCTATGGCCATCATGTCTGTTTTTTTCACCAGTTCCAAATAATAGTCAAATAAGTTGAACAAACTTGTAGATACTTTCAATTTCAATGTATTTATTTGTCCAATGTACGTTCCACATGGATATTTGTTTCGCTCACATGTAAAATAAAAGTTCAGATCAAGTTTACAAAGAGCTGAAATATACAAAACAAGGATACATTTTGGTGATGACAAAATTATAGTCATACGTAATAATGATTCTCATTTGGTTATGGCTTGTTTTGTTTCCTTCATTTACATGATTTCACTGTCCTCATGCATATTCATGAATTTTTAAACTTTAATATTAAAATTGAAGTACATCAAAATAAATATGATCAATTGAAAACAAAATACTGAATTATATGGATAACTATACATATGGATTGAATATGGAATGATTGTGTCCTACCTCTCAGTGATCTTCTCCCTGATCTGAGGAACTCATAAAAAGGATGATTGGCTTTTGGATGATTATCTTTTTACAATCTTCCCCCAAGCCCGCTTTACGCTACTGATTTTGTTCTGCATGTTTGGCTATTTTTTCTAGTTTTGCAAGATCCCCTGCAAACTGCAAACCATACAATATAACTTAATAAAATAACACTCTGTACTATCTAAACATAAAACAAACTCAAAATCGTCCTATCCACATGGAATGAATTTTATGCTTACTCACAGGTTTCATGTAATAATTCATGAATGTAGTTTGTTCTTCATGTATTTTATTCTATCAGATGTATATCACTAATTATCACACCATATTCTGTTTTTAACCAACGATCAATTACTACCCTCTATTTATGTTGTTTCTTCTTTATTCCTCCTCTTCCCTTCCCTTTTTATCTCTCTTCCTAATCATCTTCTACAGATCAATCGGAATAGAAATAAGTGGAAGTTTACTTTGAAACATGGCATCATGAACCTGAAGGGGAAAGACTACGTTTTCAACAAATCGACGGGGGATGCAGACTGGTAGGATCCACGAATGGTGCCATCAAGGTCAGCTATTAGCCAATCTTCTTGCAAAAGAAAAGTTTGTAGGAATGGGGGTGCATACCAACTCTTTTATGTTCCATAAAGGTGGTACAGGAAGGCTCTAGGTCTGGATGTTTTCCATGTCAACATGCCACTGCAGGTCATTGATTCTATGAGTTACTTGAAAATTTGCCTACTCCCCCTGTCTGAGCATCTCTTGTTCCTTGGTGCTGTTGAAAGAATATCCTGGCATTTCCTACTGTGGTTCTCAAAGAATTTAGTAGGGTGTGGGGGTAATGCACGCCCGCCGCCTGGTTTAAAAAAATTAAAGAATTGTGTCATGTATGTGCCCCAAGAGGCAAACATACACATTTCCTTGTCTTTGTTTGTCACACATATTTTTGACCCCCCCCCCCCCCCCTTACATAAAATATCATTGGTATGGTGAAATGATGTTAAAATGATATTGTAACATTTTAATTCATAATGATGGTGCTATGATGTTGTCAACCTCATACCTCTATGGTTACAAATGGCGCATCCATGCTTGGAAAGGCCAGCAAAAATGACACATTGGTCTCAGAAGCTTTAACAATTACCAAGGGCAAGGATTGGCTTATATATATTTTATAAATATGTTCATTTTATTTTCTACTGAATTATTTTTATGATAATATTGGAAACAAAGTGCATTATTTATAGGGTGAGAGAGCAGAAATGGTATAGAAATGAACAGGGAAGTGGAAAAAGAAGCTAATATTAAATAATTTAAGTAATATTATTGACATGTCTCACATTTGCCATTGATTTATGTAAATTGGACATTGATTCCTTCCAAAATTGTATATTTTGGACTTCTTAGTCACAGCTCTGTGGGTCTTGTGGGAAATGACAAATGGGCCTAAAATTGAGTTGTTCCATTATTAGTAGGTCTCTTGTCTTTCTATATTCTTTTCAGTGGCCCAGACATATTTCAGTGAATATTTTGCTACTATATTTATTTTGTGTTTAACAGAAAATTAGAGGACCTGACGGGTAGAAGTTTGAAGTTAACTTTTGAAATGTGTAATCACGATACATGTACATGTGAGGACTGCGACAACCCACAAAATGACTGAAATTTATAATCTGGAGGTATTTACTTTTCAAAGGACCTATGCTATCCATAATTCATTTTGTGCTGTTCCCCATAATAATGACATTTTGTCCAGCATGACTACGTCACAATCCATTGACCATATTGCCAATTTGTGATTTGCAAAGAATTAGTGATCTCATATTTCAAAGACAAATTTTGAACCTTTGCCATTCTGTTTCTCTTATATTTCTGCTTTTATGCAAATCAAAGCAACTCATTGAAACAGCTTTCAAATTTTGTAAGTGATGGCTTACTACAGTATCCATAGTGACTATTTTGAAAGGGCATTTAATACATATTTTTGTGCTTGATGCTTTTTTTGTGCCTGCAATTCACTGCCAAATGGGAACAACTCGAAAGTATCTTTTTCATTGACCAGTCAGAGAGGCTGTTCACACCGCAATGAGATAGCGCGGTCTTTTTTCTAGTGTGCGCTAGACCGCACTCTCTCTCGTGGACCACCCCCAAGAGGTGCTCCAGTGGCACGCCGTGGCTCGCTGTTGGGCGAACCGAAACGATGTTGTTCCTCCCACACCGCTATCTCTGCCGGTGTGAACAGCCTCGGAGACTACCATTGTGGGTTAGTGTTCTGCCAGTAATGTGAATGCAGGGTCTGAATTGTTGAGTTGTAGACTTCACATGTACCTCGATTTGTGGCAGGTCATGTTAAAAAATGTTAACCTGGGAGTCATTTCACAAACATCCCATTGATTCCAATGGGTTGCCTTGGCTGACGATAATCAACACTTTAAAGGCAAAGTCCACTCCAAAAATAACTTAATTTCAATAGAAGCAGAAAAATCAGACAAACCAATCTAACTAATAAGAAAGTTATGAATTTTTAATGACATGAAAAACTTTGAAAATCACTCGACAAATTGACAACTCACTCATGTCCTCACTATCCACTGTATATTGATAATATTAATAGTATTATGTTTTTGTGTGGATGCACTAATATAGAGTAATTTTTTCCAGTTACATCATGACAAATTTGAATTTGGATACACTATTCATATAAAAATCATTTTTTATGAATATTCAATATTCAGAAAATAGTATAAATTCTTCAAAGTTCATACAAGATTTTGTGAAATGTCATGCATATAATATGATAAAAAGGGAAATTAATGGGATAAAACTATTTAAAGCAATTGATAAATAGTGAGGACATGACGTCACAAACTGACAACCATATTGGCAATTTGCGTCGTGATTCTCATCGTTCTTATTAGTTATCCGATTTTTGCTCAAACTTTTTTTGATTGGTTTGGCTGCTTTTATTGAAAGTAAGATATTTATGGTGTGGACTTCCCCTTAACAAAAAATCTGCTATAGCTTGTTTTTGTAGCTTTCTTTGTTACAAAGTGACACATGTTTTGTTTTGTACATTGTTATTCTGTGGCAGGATTCCACTTCTTGATTGATCACTGAACAAAATTGTGTAACATTTTGAATGTCATATTGATTTGAATGGCTTTAATGTTTTGTATGTTCTCTCTTTTCCAAGATGGAAGTAAAGTTTGATAACTGTATGGAAAACAGTGAATGAAATGTGCTCACTCCTTATCATGGTAGCTCGGCTAAAAGCTGGGGTAATAGAATTATTATAATTGTTATTTTATCGTTTATAAATCTATATGCCCAAGGGTGTTTTGATTGTTTTAAAGGTACCGAGTGTGGGTAATTTTTATGTGTACGCTCTCAACCAATTCATCATCTTATAAAACATTGTAATAACGTGTTAAAACGGCTTGCCATAGACACGCCGATGTCGTCCACAAAAAAAAAGATTTATGGATTTAGCTATCACCAAGGCATACATGTACATTTGAATATTCTATCTCTCAAAAATACTGCATTTAAGAATATATCAAGTTCTTCATAGTTCTTTATGGCAAACTTAGTATACAAATAATACACATCAGTGAGGGTATTAGTAAGAATTACCCATACAACAGTCTAACGCTTTCAATTAGTGACTTCTGTGGAGAATCTCTCTCTGTTTTAATTTATTTACATTCCTCACATTCCTCACATTGTGTGTTTCACATACTTTATTTGGGAAATCCACCCTGATAATTTTGATCTCGGATCAGTTTGATCTCGGATCAGCTTCCATTATATTGACCTAAATATCAGGATGGTGAGTATTTATAATTGAAGGCTTTCAGTAACACCATGTGGCAGCCTTACTAAAAAGCTTTCAATTATGAATATTACTAGGTTATGGAACCAATTGCATTCTCAGATTAATACCCATTAATATCAGTCCTGAAATTATCTTTTATTTTTAAGTGCCTGTTTCAGTGAAGTTGATTGTTCTTGTACTAGTTTGTGACTAGTTCATATTGATCCAGGGGGTTACGTTTTATGTCCACGGTCATTATTATGTCCAACCTAAGTGTATAATTTTTGTTGCAATTGATGTATATGTCTGTATTACAATTTTTGTCTAAAACTACTGTGTACATAGTAATTTCATGTCAAAAATAAAATATTTACGTGTGTTTATTTAAAGCTGTTAGATTTGCCATTTTGTACTGCCTTTCTTTTTGACATTTCCTCATGTAAGAATATTTTAGAATCTTCAAACATTTGCCCCAACATCTTTTTTTTTTTGGAACAAAAAGTAGTCATTTTCATTCTAAAAGGATGTTCGGACTATCATGACGAGAAAATGGAAAGGATTGAAAATTTTCATTTTGGGCCTTGCCATTTTTTTCTTGAAAAAGGGGCGGTTTTCGAAATTTCCGATATGTGCCCCAACACCTTTTTTTTGGAGCAAAGGAGAGTCATAATCATTCTTAGGGGATTTCGGACTATCATGATGAGAAAATGGAGAGGATTGAAAATTTTCATTTTTTGGCCAAAACGACGAGCTAACCCCTTGCCATTTTTTCGAAAAAAGGGGCGGTTTTCGAAAGTTCCGATATTTGCCCTAACATCCATTTTTTGGAACAAAGGAGAGTCATAATCATTCTGAGGGGATTTTGGACTATCATGATGAGAAAATGGAGAGGATTGAAAATTTTCATTTTTTGGCCAAAATGATGAGCTAACCCCTTGCCATTTTTTCAAAAAAAGGGGCGGTTTTCAAAATTTCCGATATTTGTCCTAACATCCTTTTTTTTGAGCAAAGGAGAGTCATAATCATCCTTAGCGGATTTCGGACTATCATGATGAGAAAATGGAGAGGATTGAAAATTTTCATTTTTTGGCCAAAACGATGAGCTAACCCCTTGCCATTTTTTCGAAAAAGGGGCGGTTTTCGAAAGTTCCGATATTTGCCCTTACATCTTTTTTTTTTACAAACGAGAGTCATAATATGTCAGTGGGCATGTTGGGACTATAATAGAGAGAAAATGGAGAGGATTGCAAATTTTCATTTTTTGGCCAAAATGATGAGCTAACCCCTTGCCATTTTTTCGAAAAAAGGGGCAGTTTTCGAAAGTTCCGATATTTGCCCTAACATCTTTTTTTTTTTACAAACGAGAGTCATAATATGTCAGTGGGCATGTTGGGACTATAATAGAGAGAAAATGGAGAGGATTGCAAATTTTCATTTTTTGGCCAAAATGATGAGCTAACCCCTTGCCATTTTTTCAAAAAAGGGGCGGTTTTCAAAATTTCCGATATTTGCCCTAACATCCTTTTTTTGGAGCAAAGGAGAGCCATAATCATTCTTAGGGGATTTCGGACTATCATGATGAGAAAATGGAGAGGATTGAAAATTTTCATTTTTTGGCCAAAATGATGAGCTAACCCCTTGCCATTTTTTTCGAAAAAGGGGCGGTTTTCGAAAGTTCCGATATTTGCCCTAACATCCATTTTTTGGAGCAAAGGAGAGTCATAATCATTCTTAGGGGATTTCGGACTATCATGATGAGAAAATGGAGAGGATTGAAAATTTTCATTTTTTGGCCAAAATGATGAGCTAACCCCTTGCCATTTTTTCGAAAAAGGGGCGGTTTTCGAAAGTTCCGATATTTGCCCTAACATCTTTTTTTTTTTACAAACGAGAGTCATAATATATGTCAGTGGGCATGTTGGGACTATCATGATGAGAAAATGGAGAGGATTGCAAATTTTCATTTTTTGGCCAAAATGATGAGCTAACCCCTTGCCATTTTTTCAAAAAAAGGGGCGGTTTTCAAAATTTCCGATATTTGTCCTAACATCCTTTTTTTGGAGCAAAGGAGAGTCATAATCATTCTGAGGGGATTTTGGACTATCATGATGAGAAAATGGAGAGGATTGGAAATTTTCATTTTTTGGCAAAAACGATGAGCTAACCCCTTGCCATTTTTTCGAAAAAGGGGCGGTTTTCGAAAGTTCCGATATTTGCCCTAACATCTTTTTTTTTTACAAACGAGAGTCATAATATGTCAGTGGGCATGTTTGGACTATAATAAAGAGAAAATGGAAGAGGATTGAAAATTTTCATTTTTTGGCCAAAATGATGATCTAACCCCTTGCCATTTTTTCGAAAAAGGGGCGGTTTTCGAAAGTTCCGATATTTGCCCTAACATCTTTTTTTTTTACAAACGAGAGTCATAATATGTCAGTGGGCATGTTGGGACTATAATAGAGAGAAAATGGAGAGGATTGCAAATTTTCATTTTTTGGCCAAATGATGAGCTAACCCCTTGCCATTTTTTCAAAAAAGGGGTGGTTTTCAAAATTTCCGATATTTGTCCTAACATCCTTTTTTTGGAGCAAAGGAGAGTCATAATCATTATTAGGGGATTTCGGACTATCATGATG